GCCGTGGATCCGTCAGCGGAGTAAGCTGGCTGCGTCGCCGGCTCGCGATACGGAAAAGACCAGTAATACTTGATGTTGTTATGACTGAGAAAACTGTACATAGAATAGATTAATGATGTTATGTTTGCACCAGAAACTATCTCCTGTAGCTCGGGGACGTCCTTGAAGACCGGCACAGCTTTGGGGGAACAGGCTTCTCCCCGATCTACCCCTGCTCCGGTAGCCAGGTCGCCATGAGATTCATTCTTATCATCCTGTAGGGGTAAGGATGACGCTATAGTGCGGTTCCTTGTCGTTCGCCAATACCAATTTAATATATAAAATAGGAGGTTATACTAGAGTTCACGGTAGTTGTCAGCTGCTCAAGACGGAAATATATATCTACTAACTGCCACTATTATATCGTGATAAACCAGAGCTAAATCGGCAAGCAATTCCAAACATCCCACTGTCTCCGCCACTTATTTGGGACCAGACTAGCCTACAAAGCAGAAATGTAGTAGTATTCGAGAATGCACGGGTTTGTCATGAATGAGGACCCCCACCGAAGTGGTTGCTGAATTGAGATGGTCAGCGTGCATGGGACACGGCAGAGAAAGAGTGATGGGATCCACTCTGGCTTGCACAAGCTGATCCTGCTGGCCCCCAATCCATTGATTTCATGCGCTGGCCGACTTTAGCTCCTCCACTCACGATGATGATCCAAGTAGCCTGGACTGATGATTGGGAGGAGCAAAGAACACCTAAATTGCGCCTCAACACAAGCCCCCCGCTATTTGAGATAACAGAGAGTCAAAATGTCGATTTTAGACCACTTCCCCCACTTGAATGAGGAGCTTGATTTTTCTGTTTCTGTGTCACTCTGCTCCTGTATCGCGAGCGAACTCATTCATCGATTTTCTTCATCATAGCCTGGAATAGAAGGATCATTGCAACCATGCCGCCATTCGAGAAGCTCAGGAAAATGCACAGCCCTTTCCCAGGCTCCTTTCGCAGTAGGCTCACTCCCCCGTCTATACCACACACAGCGACGTCGGCCTGGGTTCTGCGGTTGCTACAAAAGACAGCGACTGACCAACAATTCCTGCAGGTGAATGTAACAAAGCCGCCCAGATTCTAGATGCCTTTACGAACCCATTGAACCCAGACGGCCGCGCTAGTCTCATTCCCCCGAAGATCCTCGGAGCTGCCAAGGCAAGTGGCATTACAACGGTCGCAAATAATCCCCACGCCATTGACTGACCGGTCGAGCGCAGGGCTTTGCAATATTTTCTGTGTCAAAACTGGGTATCGTTGGCTCAGTACGAATGGGCTCGGGCATCTTAATCGCCCGCCTCGAGGAGGGCGACTGGTCTGCGCCTTCGGCCATTCTGACAGCGGGAGTTGGAGTAGGGTCCCAAGTGGGCTTGGAGGTGACCAACTTTGTCTTCGTCCTCAACACAACCAGCGCTGTTCGCACATTCGCCCAGCTGGGGAGTTTGTCCCTGGGCAAGACTGCCTCGTTTGCCATGGGTCCATCGGGTAGATTTGGAGAGGTCAACGGGGTGGTCAGCGCCGGTGGAATGGCGGGCATTTTCGTCTACGGTCATAATCAGGGTTTCTTTGGTGGCTTCAGCACCGAAGGGAGCATGATCTTCGAACGCCGCGGCGCAAACCAGAAGCTATACGGAAAGAAGATCAAGGCGCGCGATTTGATCGAGGGCCAATTCCCACCTCCAAATGAGGCGGATGAGTTGATGCGCGTGTTGCGCTCCGATCTCTTTGCTCCTCGACCAGAATTGTACGCGACCTCCTCAGCGTCCACAAAAGGCTCCATCTCGTCCGGACGGCCGTCACAGTCGTCTGCAGGAACGAAGATTCAGAAGATGCCCATCGAGATGCCCGCCGATGAGATCGTCCAGTTACCCGCCGAACTGCCCGCTGAATTCATCGCCGAGCTTCCAGCAGAGGTGGTGCCGGATATCTACTACGACAAATCGGTTGGCTCCTCGGAGACGCTGCTGCCCGAGTTGCCCTCAGAGACAGCCTCGCTGCGGCCTGCGAAGAGTTGATTGCATCAAGGAGAGGAACAGTACATATAACAAGGGAACATCACTCAGATGTTGAACTCTTGGGAGGCAACTCGCTCCCAGCACGGTCGGGGCTGCAGAAATAACAGTGAATAGCCTTGGCTGGCCACGATCGGACCTCTCATCACAGGAGCATGCACGATGCACACTGAAGTACTATCCCGGAAAGGGATCTCAACCTCGCACCTAATGGTAGCTGTTGGATCATCCCAAGTAACTAGCCACATCCTCTTAAGGCAAGCAAGAGAGGGTGATGGCGCGCATGGGGAGGATTAGGGAGCAAGAAAGTGACACGCGGCGAGTAAGCTGGAACAACGACTCCTACAGTATTATCCTAGCTTGATATATAGCAGTGAAAGTAATCATATACAGTGTGATGGTGGGTGCGGGACAGACAAAGAGTGGTCAGTAATCGGCTCTGGTTGTGTTAAAATCAGACGTCGGTGAAGATCACAAGACGCGACCGTGGGTTTCATTCTCCTTCTGTCAGTGTCTCGGACCGCGCCCGATTCCTCTTTTCTCCCAACTCAACCCAATCAGTCTCCAAACATCATACCCTCTGTTCCGCCAGACTCATTCTTGAAAACCCTCTCAGGGATGGCGATGTCGCAAGATGGATGATAGTGGCACGTATCCCCGTAGCTGCATCCCCTGCAACCGCCGCAAGGTCCGATGCGACCGGAGGCTTCCCTGCGGTCGATGTGTCAAGGGCGGCGAACAATGTGTCTTTCCTGGTCCTAAACGAGCACCGCGACAGCTGAAACGCCCCCCAATCGCCGAGGTGCTGGCCCAGCTGCGACACCTGGAGCAAGAGGTCCAGCTCCTGCGCGCCCAAGCTCAGCAACCTGCGGAGGCTGGATCGGCTTCTAGCTCGTCTCCTCTCGGCCATTCCCAGGAGGAGGCCGCTGGCCCACTGGAACCAGGCCAGCGGGAAGGCAGGCTGGTTGTCAAGGAAGGTAAAAGTCGTTATGTGGGGGATGCACCCTCGGCCGTACTGGGGGACAAGGTGAGATTTCCCTTCCTCGTATAATCCTGTTCTACTTCCCACAAGAGCCCTGACGGGTGTGTTCGTGACCACTATAGATCCGAGAACTACAGGACATCTGTGATGCATCATCCTCCGAGGATGAACTGGAGACCCCGGAGGCATCCGGCTTGCACTTCGCCAGTAGCCTTGGGGGCAACTGGCAGGGTCACAGTTTACGAAACACCTACCTGCAGCCGGACCAGATCCAGCGCTTATGGCAAGTCTACAAAAACAATGTAGTCCCGCTACTTGCCGTTCTACACGTACCGTCCGTGGAGATCATGGTTCGTGAAGAGTCCGAGAACATCAATCCGGACCCTTCTCGCGAAGCGCTCATTCTGGCTGTGTGCTTTGCTGCCATCGTAAGTTTACCCCCAGACCAGTGCATGAGCTTGGTGGGTGTAGATTGCGAAAAGGCGGTTCAGAGCTACCAGCTTGCAGTCGACCAGGCTTTGGTGAGAGCCAACTTCATCAAAGCTCAAAACATCAGTGTTCTGCAAGCTGCAGTGATATTCTTGCTCTGCCTTCGTTGGAGGGGGGATGCCAGACTCGTCTGGGCGGCGTCTGCCGTCGTGGTTCGTGTGGCTCAGGGACAAGGCGTCCATCGCGACGGTCAAAGCCTCGGACTCAGCCCGTTTGACTCGGAAATGCGGCGTCGCTTATGGTGGCACATCTGTGTCCTGGATATGGTGTGCTCCGAAGACCAAGGAACCGACACCCAGATCCAGCCAGGCATGTTTGACACTCGACTCCCGCATAACATTGACGGGGAAGATCTGACCCCTTCGATGACTGAGCTGCCACCGGAAAAAACAGGCGCCACTGATATCACCCTCCTCATTATTCAGTGTGAGATCATCTCGGAACTCAACTGGCCAAATCGACGTAATGGTGCAAAGGATCCAGAATCCTCGGCCGATCAGGAACCGCTAGTTACCACTGTAGCGAACCGTCTGGAAAATCGGTATTTGCAACACTTGGACATCAATATCCCAGTTCAATGGGTTTACGCCATGATCATTCGGTTGACCCTGTCGAAGCTGTGGCTGTACGCTCATTACAACAAAATCCCCAGCCATGGGTCTGAACCCGAATGCTCGCAAGCCGCCTGCAATGATGCCTTTCGGGCGGCCGTCGAAACCATCAAATTCACCATTCTGCTGCATACCAACGAGAGTACTTCACACTGGGCGTGGTTGTGCAAGACGTATAAGCAATGGCACACGGTCGCATTCATTCTCGCCCAGCTGTGCAACCGCCCGATCACGGCCGAGACCGATCATGCCTGGCAGGTGGCGATGGAGATCCAGCGGCAATGGGAGCAGGATGGCTCGCCTCAGAGTGTCATGCTCCGGAAGCCGCTCAAGCGGTTGATGCAACGGACAGCTTCAACTAGGGCAGCCAAAATGGGTGTATCGCCAGGCTCCTCTCTGGGCACGGAGGTTAAGGATGGTGATAGTATGGGTTCGGAGTTGATGTCCTTAGATACCAACCCTGCTCCAGGCATGGATGTCTCCCCGATTCCCCTGGATCAAGGTTCTATTCCCTTAGATGTCCATTCGCTAGGGATGGCTGGTTTTGGTGTCTCGGGCATGGAGTGGCTGTGGGAGCCATTGCTGTAACGGTCGGGCTCCCAACCCCTTTGAAGGACGTATGTAGACGGCATAAATCAAATGTGAAAAACTCGACATATAATATCAATATACTTATATGTAACGTGTATGTGAAATCGGGTTGTGGAGAAAGCGATCATGGAACATGGCCATCATGTACTCTTAGATGTGTCACGGTCGGGGTGGCGATCCCCCTCGGCATTGATCTCAAACCCGACCCTCGTCCACTTTTAGTCAGGCTTCAATGTCTCTCTTACTAACCTCGGTCCCATATGAAGCCGATATACGAGGGGTATTTTGTCATTCATCTCTCTGACATTGACGCCGAAAGGGGTATGGAAGAGACCTCAATCTTGGTCAGCTGCAGTGGGTGGCCAAGGGACATATAATGGAGGCTTGCCCCGGGTCAATCCCATGCAGCAGAAGTCATCCATTGGCAATTACTCCACCAGACTGAAAGCAATACGAACTCAAGGAACCGAACAATTCATCTATCTCTCACAGCAAAATGTCCAAGATCATTACTGTCTTCGGTGCCACTGGCCAACAGGGCGGGTCCGTCATCCGCACGATCCTCAGCGACCCCGAACTTTCCAAGGAATTCAAGATCCGCGGTATCACACGCGATGCTAGCAAACCAGAAGCCCAGGCATTGGCCAAGCAGGGAGTCGAAATCCGAAATGTAAGGCTTGACGGCCCATAATTCTACCGCAAACCCACTCTAACAGTCTACATAGGCGGACATGAACTCTAAAGACTCTATCCGGAACGCCCTCGAGGGCAGTCACTCCGTCTTCCTAGTGACCACTCCCGCCTGGGGTATTGCTGGATCTGATGCAGAATTGGTCCACGGCAAGAACGTTGCCGACGTGGCTAAAGAGTTGAACGTCCAGCATCTCATTTTCTCTTCTCTGCTCAACGTGACAGAGACCACAGCCGGACGTCTCAAGAATGTCCATCACTTCGATCACAAAGCCCAGGTCGAGCAGTATATTCGCTCGCTGGGAGTTCCGGCTACCTTTGTCTTGCCGGGGTATTTTATGACCAATTACTCTGTTGTTGGTCTGCTGCGGAAGGGCGAGAACGGGGTATGGACTCTTGCTTATCCTGTTGGAAAGGAGGCTAAGTTTCCGTTGATTGATATCGCGGGTGATATGGGTATGTGATCTTTAAGCCATTTGCTCTAGCATGAGTGCCTTGACTGACAAGTTATGTAGGTAAATATGTCGCCGCCTCTTTGAAGAACCGGTCAGAGACACTCGGCACTCAGATCCTCGTGGCGGAGGATTACTACACTCCTACTCGCATTCTCGAAGAGTTCGAAGAGGTGACCGGACAGAAGTCCCAATTTGTGCAGGTCGATCCCGAAACGTACAAGTCATTCATGCCGGGTCCCATGGGCCAGGAAATGCTGGAGAACCACCTCTTCATTGGAAACCCTGGTTACTTCAATGGTCGGAGTCTCAACGAGAGTAAGGCTTTAGTGGCTAAGGCGGGGTATAAGCCCACCAGCTGGAAGGAATTCTTGCAGCAGAACAAGGCTTCGTTTGCCTAGTCTACCTGCGTTCTCTAGTCGGAGCTCAGTGGTGTAGTCGTCAAATCACCTAGGATGGGATTAGCTAGGATCTTGTGTAATCATATTATCGTGATATAATAATCGGATGGTTTTGGGATGGCCTAAATCATTTTTCTTATTTGTTTGAGCGACAAATCACTCGTAATCTTGGCGGCTGGTGGCGTAGTTAGGATACTTGACGCCGGTGCCGGATGTTACCTAATTTGATAGCTACAGTTAGAGGACTGCACCTGCATCTTTATCGGAGAGGATCTTCTAGACCTCAACGTCAGCAGCTTCCTGGTCTGCTTGGCGAATAACGGCGTGAATCAGACCAATTGAGCGGGGCGGGCTATACAGAGCACGCCTTCACATCCCGCCTTGATGCCATGCCTGCAGGTCGCCGATAAGACCTCACCGAACGCGCTTTCCTCCCACGACCTTAATGTCGCTGGAACTATATACCGGTCGTGGGCTCTAATCCGAATTCCACGGCTTTATGATTTCTCATTTTCAGTGAAAGTTCGCTAGGATGGATACGCCCGACGCTAATAACAAAGGCCCTATCGATAGGGTCTCATCTGTAAACGAGCAGCTATCGGATGAGATACGGCCGGAGGATGAGAGGGCACTGGTATTATTTCCAGTCCACAACATCGGAAATGTGTGCATCGACTGACCGATCCTAGGTATGGCGACTCGACTGCTTCTTCCTCGTCGTGGGGTTTCTGGGATATGCATTCAAATACCTGGACCAAACGAACATTGTTAGTACCCGCATGCATCACATAAACAATGTGTACTTATCATCGGCAGAGCAATGCCTATGTTTCCGGTATGGAGACAGATCTCGAACTCTATGGTAACGAGTACAATTATTTCACGACCTTCTTCAAGTATGTCATCACCTCTGACTACTGGCAATTCTGACTCCATCAGTATCGGATACATGATTATGCTCTACCCATCATGCATCATTATCTCCCACGTCGGGCCAGCTATATGGCTGCCAGCATGCGAAGTAACTTTTCTTCAGATAGAGTATTCATATAGCTAACCAACGAAATAGATTCTATGGGGTATACTTACCTGTTGCTTATCCACTGTCACGTCTGCTAAACAGGTATTTACCCCGAGTGTTTTGACAGGCATCGGCACAACTAATCGATTAGGTGTATGGCTTGCGTTTTCTCATTGGCTTCTTTGAGGGTGCGACGTGGCCTGGCTACTTTACCATTATCAGGTAAGTCGCTCAATCTTCTAGATAACCAAGTAGTCAGACTACTAATAAGCAAAGTCAATGGTATCTCCCGCACGAGATGGCCTTGCGTATGAGTTTGTATAACATGGCTCAGCCAGTTGGGGCAATGCTCTCGGGTGCCATGCAGGGCGCAATGTCAACCAATCTGGAAGGTGTCATGGGGCGAAGTGGTTGGAGATGGGCATTTATCATAAACGTATGTTCAACCTGATTGTATACTCGAGGGGATGAAGCTGATTAGTTTACGTCCTAAATAGGGGGTTTGCACCATATTCATTGCATTGTTGGCATTTGTCATCCTACCTGGCTTTGTGAGAAACCCCAGCTCTTCGGGTGGGATGCCCTGCTAAGTGACTATAGCCCGAAAGGCAAAATCCATTGTCCAAGATCTATCTCGGGCCACAGCATATTAGTAAGTGAAGATTATAGGAGATGTGGAGAAACTGGCTAAACTCATACAGATACTGCCATTGCACGTACACGCCGCGTGGGCCGGAAACCGCAGATCGGCATCCAGGTTAAAAGCTTTCTGCGCTGCTTCAAATTCTGGCATTTATGGTTGTTCGCCAGTATGGCTCCATCTCACCCTGCTGTAGCACGTATAACTGATCTTGACACAGTCGCGTGGGCAATCGGCACCGGCACAACGCCGACGAGCTACTTCAACCTCTGGCTCAAGTCGTTGAAAAACCCTGATGGATCCGCCAAGTAGTATGTATTTCTTACCATTCTATGCATCCAAGTCTGATGTAATTTAGCTCCGTGGCCATGCTCGACTACCTTCCGATCGCTGGTCAAGCAATCCAACTTGTCGCTGAAATCCTTTTCAGTGGGTTCAGTGACTATTTTGGAGTCAGACTGCCATTCCTCCTCTTGCATTCGGTAAGTCGCACCTGAGTAAGCACTACTCCGTACTGACCAAGTATAGGTGATCAACATAGTATCACTCATTATCCTGACGATCCAACCGAGCAATGAGCACACCTATATGGCTGGGTGGTATATGGACTATATTGGAGCGTAAGCCTCACCTATCCGACAGGTAATGATATCTAGCTGATATCTATTGTTTAGGGTCTCGACAATGCTGTTGTGTGCGTGGGCAGCTGCCCATTTGGAGACGGAGCCAGAAGTTCGCACCGTTCTGTTCGCCACCGGAACCCTCTTCGCGTATTTGCTAAGTGCCTTCCTTCCCATAGCTGCATATCCAGCATCGGAAGCTCCTCACTGGCGTATTGGAGCAAAGCTGTACCTCGGTCTTTCATGCTTGGCAGCGGTGTTGTTCGTTTGCATCCATTTTGCCTTTAAGTGGGAGGAGCGGAGAAAAGCTAAAACCCGCCAAGTTGACGATTGGAATGTGACTGCAGACGAACATGAAGTCAGTGAAGGGAGGGTTTAGGGGTAGAACGGAGATTCTGACGAGCTGAATAAACCAGCTCGTGATCTCCGTGGCAGCCTGGCAATTAGCATGTCTACCACGACGCTAATCGATCCTTGGCCCTACAACTTTCACCACTCACGCAAACCGCCATGTCTTCTTTCTTCGGCTTTCGGCGTTTAGAAATGGCTGAAGGAGATTATCTCCAGTCTGCAGGGTTTGGCTAGTCACATCGCTACGTTACACGTAGTAGCTTCATGGTTAACGCCGATTTCCGACCTCGAGCTTTCCCCGCAAATAAAAATCCATCCATTAGCATAGTTTCTTTTGCTATGACCTGATAAAGCATCTATAGTCTCAAGAATTGATTCCAATGTCGCCATCGATACCAAATTTGCATCATTGCTTTGATCATACTTTAGGTCCTACAAATCTCCCTAGGAGCAAGAGCACTCCCATCAATGTAGCCGACGGTTTAGTTGCAACGTCCTCAACTCGGGATGATGGCCGACGACGACACCATCAAAGGCCTGTCCGTTGAGGCAGAGAGCTCCCAAACCGATGATACGGAGCTGACTCCACAGGAGCAGCGACGGGTTATCCGTCGAGTTGACGCCCGATTGATTGTCATGCTGGGGTTCCTGCACACCGTATCGCTGCTTGACCGGGGAAACCTGTCTACTGCAGCGGTTGCGGGAATGGAAAAGGAATTGCACCTCCAGGGTAATCAATATGTGAGTTTTTTTTATCGCTGAAGAAACATGTCTATTCTAACACAGTCGTATAGAATATCATTGCTGTCGTGTTCTTTCCTCCCTACATCTGTCTGCAAATGCTGGGTCCAGTGCTGATTCGCAGGTTGGGCCCGAAGACCTTCCTTGCGGGCATTTGCTTTATCTGGGGTATTGCTATGGTAAGATATCACTGGAACACCCCTCCCGACGAAGAGCTAACCTGTTTAGATGTGCGGTGGATTCGTCCACAACTGGGCTCAACTAGCTGGCATTCGAATCATTATCGGAGCCTTGGAAGCAGGGTTCTTCCCTGCTGCTGTCTATCTTATTGCGACTTGGTACACCCGATATCAGATGCAAAAGCGATTTGCCATCTTCTATCTGCTCGGCTGTGTGGCATCAGCTTTTACCGGAATACTTTCCTATGGCATCACCTTCATGGTACGCGACCCCGTATTCTTCATTGCTTTCATGCTAAGAATCGGCTCGAACAGAACGGCCTAGGCGGCCTTACAGCCTGGCGCTGGATTTTCGTCATCCAAGGCCTCCTCACTTGCACGCTCGCAGCCATCAGCTACTTCGTCCTGATCAATTTCCTGGATCGGATGAGATCAAGCAAGAGCCGATTCCTCTCGGACCGAGAATACGACTTCATCACTCACCAGATCAACGACGACCGCGGGGACGTGAGACTCGAGCCCTTCAATCTGAAGAAGTACCTTGTCGCTGCACTGGACATTAATATCTGGGGATTTGGACTAGTGTACTTCTGCACTACATCTACTGCCTATTCGATCGCATATTTTCTGCCTCTGATATACAGGCAGGGAATGGGCTTTTCGATGGGAGCATCGTTGTGTCTCTTCGCTCCACCGTACGTGGCTGCGGGGATCACCATGATGGCAACATCGTGGATTGGAGATAAGTATCGGTTGCGGGGACCAATTATTGTTTTCAATGCCATGTTGGCATTGATCGGGCTTCCTTTGATGGTCATTTTTCCCTCATACAAATGTAACGGTAAACAAAGCTGACAAGACTAGACCTTCACCAAGAGCAACGGACCACGATTGGTCGGGTGCTTCCTTACTACCATGGGAGCCAACTCGAATGTACCTGCTGCTATGGCATATCAGGTAGAATTATACATCCTTCTGACCGTAGTATCAGTGCTGATTGACATTAGGCAAACAATGTCCGCGGTCAGTGGAAGCGAGCGGCCTGCAGCGCCATCTTTGTCGGTCTCGGTGCGTCGGGCGGCATGGTCGGATCTCTGGTCTTTCGGTCTCAGGATGCTCCGGAGTATCGGCCGGGAATGCTTACCTGCATTGGGTTGCAGGCTGCTGCGATAGTGCTGGTGGGGTTGTTAACCATTCGATTGTATCTGCGCAATCGTCGCGTGGATCGGGGAGAGTTGGTTATTGGGGATCTGCCGGGGTTTCGGTATACTTATTAGCTTGTTTACAGACGGTGCTGACTGGCTTAATTTATGTTCTGGTCTGCCATGCTTGAAGTCGCTGGTATTATGCTCGACGATGAAATCATACATGAGATGATGGCGATAACTACATCGCTCTAAATAAGTGTACAATGGTCTAATGCAATGCATGTATGCTTAGCCGTCCAAATATGCATTCCGATATCCCTTCACTGTCCGCTTCATCCATAATCCAGGTCTAAATCCCTGCGTCCATCCCCGGCCTGAAAGGTTCGCTTCCCGTACCTTCCAGAATAATGAGCCCTGTAATAATTATTAGCCGCATTCCTCAGTCCAACCAAGGCATAAATAGGCATACATCGTATACACCCCGCACATCTTCCTTCCAGACCTTGCCGTCCTTCTCAATTAGCAACCATGTGGTGCCCCATTCAAACAAGGCGGCTCCCCACTAGACTCCATGTCAGTTACATCTATCTTTTGCGCGAATGGTGGAGAGAAGAGTGAACATACACCAAACGGATCAGCCGCACATCTATTCCCATGCATCATATCAAACAGCTCCCGCAGTGTTAATGCGCCATCACCATCGCGATCATACTTCGCGAACATATTCTCGAATGATTGAGGAACGAAGCGTCCTTCGGGGTCGTAGGTATTGCTATCGGAGCCATGCTATCCATTCATCCATTAGCCATCTCCTCCTAGTGAAGGCGTAAATCCCCAATGGGAGGAGGTATGTACCTTGGCTTTATGAACCGCATCCACATATACCCTAAACCACGGATCCGGGAGATACGAATGTGCCAGACGAGTCGGATAGGAGAAGTTCAAATTGATGATTAGAACAGCTAAGAAGGAGAAGATGATATTGAATCCTAGGTCGCGAAAGCCGTTATATGTATCCCAGGGGTAGATTTGCCCGTCGCGGTCGCGGTCCCAGAAGAGGACATGTTGTTGGAGGGGGGTCTTCATCAGTTATCAAGTTAGTGGTATGTTTCAATCGATTATATAGAGTGCTTATTGAGGCTAGTACGTACAAAATCGCCAAATCGCTTTGTATAGCTCTCATCCCCGTCCGGCCGGTCAATTGAGGCGGTGGTGTTGGCCCGCGGAACACCCGGTTTCTCAATGTAGTCGTTCGTATAGCGGGCTGGTTGGCGGGCCGCAGTGACGGGGCATTCGGGGACAGTGGTGGAAAAGTCGACGCTGATAGAAGGCGGGCGGATGGGTTTGTCGAAATTGGGTAGTTGAGTTTCGGAGAAGGATACTTTGCGAGGCATTCTGGTGGTTATGGGATTATTCACTAGAGTCAATATTGGATCGGAGGAGGTAAAATGTAAATAAAACAGGGAGTAGAAGAGTCAGTTGTTGGTAATGGGAGATGACTGATTAGAAGATCGGAGATTCGTTCGTCAGGGTTGATGGCGTCATCGGTTCGGGAGTCATGGTGAGGTCATACTGGGTGCTATTGATTGTACATCACTTGAATAGTCACCCAATTCATCACTTAATTAGCGGCGTTTAATCGCCACTGAGAGTGTCATGATTACTGTTTATCAGTAGCAGCATGAAACACCCCAATTGAAAGAATATGGGGTGAATGGCTGGGAAATTTTCCGCTGAGGTGGTGTGGATATATTTTCCGCTGTTGAGTATTCATCTGCTAAAAGACCACTATGACTGGGTGGCTGAGGTATACGCTCAGAGGCTACCACTATGCGCAGGTCAAGTGACAAGAGCCCTCTAAGAAGTCTAATTTACAAGCCATACCCTCTAGCTGGGTCAGAGCTATACTGTCTAACCTAAAAGAAGGGACACGCACGCCTAGTTGGGGCCTGACAGTCTGCCCACAAACATAATGGTCTCCTACAGTATCTCCACCCCCCGGATACTACATCCACGCAGGCTGGTCTAGGCTATGCTTCCACCACCAGTCTCTGGGAAATTGTCTCTAAACCCGGTTTCAGGCAAATTCGAGGTCCTTGGCTCCATTGTCTCGATCCCAATCCGAACTTGATCTAGCTTTTGCACAATTCAATTCTTGGGTCTGTCGTTATGTCATCATGATGCCCCACGGGGTATATCGTGAACATAAACCCGCATTGAAACACCCAATCTGCCCGTTGTGAGTAGAGGGTTGATCTTGCTCTTCCCGACCTTGCCATGTTGTATAAACTGAGTTTTCGCGGCTTTGCTTGTCATCCTGCTAGTAAGCTTACTACGTTCAAACGGGTTAATTGCCAACTTCTGTATACTGTCTTTTCATACTCAACTTCAGCTCCCCCTCCCAAATCACGCAAACTAGCCACCATGTCCAGTCCCACCCATTGGATGAACACCTCCGGCGAGACGGACCCCGTCTGGGTTCACTCTATGCCCTACTCCAAATATCCCAAGTTCCCATCATTGAATGAGAACGTCGAAACCGAAGTCTGCATTGTCGGCTCAGGTATTGCCGGTATCTCCATTGCCTATGAGCTGGTCAATCGTGGAAAGCGAGTGACCATGATCGAGGCCCGCAATGTCCTGTCCGGCGAAAGTGGCCGTACCAGTGGCCATTTGTCCAATGCCTTGGACGATGGATACACCGAGATCCAGAAGAAGCATGGACACCAGGGTGCCAAAGCCGCCGCTGAGAGCCATACCTGGGCGCTCAAGCGAGTCGGGGAGATTTCCCGATCACTCGGAATCGAGTGCGAGTACCGTACGCTTCCAGGCTATGAGATCTCCCAGTACCCCCGTGGGGACCCAAACCATGATAAAGAGGTCTCCAGCCTGAAGAAGGAAGTTGAGCTGGCGAAGCAGCTTGGTCTTCCTGCGTCCTACCGCGATGGCCTCACCGTGAAGGGGTGGGATGGCAGCATCGACCAGCGGGACGGTGCCATTTTTGCAGACCAGGCGACGTTCCACCCGACCAAGTACTTTGTCGGCGTACTTGAGTGGCTGCAGAAGCAGCCAAACTTTCAATGCTATGCGCACACTCGCATGATGTCGTCCAGCGAGAGTGGCCTGGTGCAAGTGACAACCACAGACGGGTACACTATCACGGCCAAGGATATGGTCGAGGCGACTTGTGTGCCTCTTCAAAAACTGAGCGTCATCGCGGAGATGGAGTACATGCGCACCTACTGCATTGCCATTCGTGTTCCCAAGGGCTCGATCGAAGACTGCCTTCTCTATGACGAGGCAGAAGCATACAAGTACATTCGGTTCACCGAATGCGATGAGAATGACGACTATCTAGTGGTCGGAGGATGCGATCACAAGGTTGGCCAGGATACCACCAGTGGGCGTTTCGAGGAACTCGAGACCTGGGTCCGCGAACGCTTCACCAAGGCCGGGACAGTCGACTATAAGTGGAGTGGACAGATCTTCGAACCTGTGGATTACATGGCATTCATTGGAAAGAACCAGGGCCTGAATCATACATACATTGTCACAGGAGACAGTGGCAATGGTCTCACACACGGCGTGCTTGCTGGTAGACTTATTGCGGACGAGATAATGGGTATTGACAATCCTTGGGCCAGCCTATACAACCCCCACCGGCTGTCCAGCATCGCCAAGTCGCTGCCCAGTATGCTGGCGCATGATGTTCAAATCAATACCCAGTACAAGCGCTGGATGAAGTCCGACATTAAGGACATCGAGGACCTCGCCGTCGGCTCTGGAGGCGTAATCAAGGAGGGTCTGACAAACCCCGTAGCCGTGTACAAAGATGAGCAAGGCAAGGCGCATAAGTTCAGCGCCGTCTGTCCACACATGAAGGCGGTGTTGAACTGGAACGACACCGAGAAGAGCTGGGATTGCCCTGTGCATGGTAGTCGCTTCAGCTGCGATGGCGTTTGTGTGGAGGGGCCGTCCAAGGCGAACTTGAAACCCATGGATTCGTTCGCTCAGAAGGAGCAGCGGGCGCAGCAAGCCATTTAGGCAGCTGGAATGTGATCTATGGTTTTTTATGGGTAGTTGGTGTGTAGCATACGAAGCATAAAAAGTTCTAAGACGGAATCACTCCGGATCAATTGAAAAAGTTAGAAAAGTAGAGGATTTAAACGCTCCCGATCCACTGGGGATCACCCGGATATTGCCTGCTTTGGGCAAGGGTGCGAGTACGAAGGGCATCTTACCCAAAACGGCATACGCAACGAAAACGAGGAGCACCACGTAGGGCAGAGCTTGATTCCCCAGCCACGGGTCTTCGATGTGAGGTTCAGGGACAGATGCACTATCGTCTCTCGTATATCGCGACCGTTGCCATATTGGTACCTCGCGAAAGTGGGAGGCAACGATGATAGGCCTTCATAAAAGCAGGGCCTCGCTCCCTACCTCCCTACGACTTTATCGACACCCACTCTTCTCTATCGCATACCAGCCATGGAATTTATTCTATACTATTACACACCCTCTGCTGCGGCAGCAGGCATCTTTGTGGTTCTGTTCGGCATCAGCACTGTCTTGCACTTTCTCCAGCTGGTCCGCACCAGAACATGGTTCATGATCCCCTTTTTCATCGGCGGAATCTGTCAGTCACTACTCTCAACGATAACTGCAGGACTATCACTGACCTGAAGCCTAATCCCACAGTGGAAACAATCGGATATGTTGGTCGTCTGCTCTCATCGCTCGAAAGCCCCGACTACAGCACGGGCTCGTATGCCATGCAAAGCGCCCTTATCCTGATCGCCCCGGCCTTCCTGGCGGCTAGTATTTACATGACCCTCGGTCGCATTATCCGGCTGGTACAAGCAGAACACTACTCGGTGTTCAAATTGAACTGGGTGACAAAGATCTTTGTCGCGGGCGATGTTCTTTCCTTCCTGATGCAAGCATCCGGTGCGTTTTTCCCCAGCTTCCCGTCTTCTGATGCAGCATCGCTAATAACAGTAGGCGCTGGTCTCATGGTCAGTGGCTCGAGCGACCCAACCACGGGCGAGCACATCATCATCGGCGGTCTTTTTGTTCAAATTATCTTCTTCGGCTTCTTTATCATCACAGCGCTCGTCTTCCAAATGCGACTGGCAAAGGCTCCCACTAGCACCTCGACGGAACTGTCGCACATCTGGCGTCGCCATATGAATGCCCTCTACATCTCCAGCATCCTCATCTTTGTCCGTTCCATTGTCCGTGTGGTAGAATACCTCCAAGGATACGACGGCTACCTTATGAAACACGAGGTTTTCATCTATGTATTTGATGCGCTGCTGATGTTCCTGGCGATGGAGGTACTCCAGTTCATCCACCCTAGCCAGGTCAACTGCTATCTGGGGCGCGGAGACCGTTACTCCGACAAGGTGATTAAGACGCAAAAGTTCATGTCGGTGCCGGTGGAGATGGAGGTTTCGTCCGTTTGAATAGCTTGCATTCTTTTTCCCCGGCGGTGTATTTTATGATTGTTATGATTATCAGCGTCAACTGTCTCATCTAGCTTGTGTTTGTCAGTCTGCCCACAATAGATGTTGTGTTCTCATATATGATGCCTGTTCCCTTCATCATCGCAAAGAGGTTGCAGGTTACCTACTCCATTGTTGGATGAGGGCTGGCAGTATTAATCTAAGATGAGGATATAGTACTTATCTTTAGCATTACCATACCATCTTGTGCTGTTGCCTGCACAAGAAGCACTAGTATGGACTTGATGCGCGTTTGACCCCGTTCCGCAAAGGGGCAAGATAGGATCCCGACGGCCCCAAGTTTTGGCCCCATCGGAAGAGCATGCAGGGCAACCGCATTATTCCGAGTCAGGGGCAGCTTTAAGGATCACAAGCTTTCTTATCGGCTATATTCAATCAGAGGATTTGGCATTTTGGGGATTCTGCAAAAGCCCTTGTGGTCCTTGGGGACACGACAATTCTCTCAGCTCTAAGTTGACATGGCAACGTGCGCCTGATAGTTGTAAACTAGTAGGGCCAAATTCGTGCCAACAGCTAACGTGCAATATCCTGTATGCAACGGCCAAAGATATGGACCCTTTAGAGTATCTCCATCTACAACAGCAACAAAAGGGTAATCACCTAGCAGTGGGGCCAGTATGTTTATTGAACTCTCGTATTGTCCAACGCCCGCTTCCTGAGAAGCCATTAATAACGGATACCACCCCCGAACTCACATTTTCCGAGGCACGATGATGCAGACACTATTGACCTTCCTGTTTCGGAAAATCCCCTGAAGCAAGCAGACAGGTGTGTTAACCGTTATGAAGTAGGATCATGCGGCCCCAGGCAATTCCGCCCGCAGAAAGGCCGCTAAGCAGCTGTCAGTATCAGGATATCTCTTGTCCCTGAACGTACAAGGGAGATATTTGCATCGGACCAGCAGATCCAAATCGGACGTTGACAGGAAAACCCACAGCTGGGCAATTTCTAAGAATAGACATTGATAGGGCCACCATATAATGATCAAGCTCTAGTGCCCTCGCTAACTGAGGATGTCGGGGCCTATATTGAATCCTATCTGCCCGCTAGAGACCCGGGGTTTTCGGACCCCACACTACTTCCAGAACACTTTGAAGAATAATTTGGGGCCATTACAGAAGGTGCCTCATCTTGGTACTTGCTGAGAGAGCGGTGTATCTGCGGAAAAGCCAGAATATGCAGTATGGTTGAGCAAGAGAAGACCTAGGAAGTGATCAATTATAGCTCGATAATTCCCTTGTCAATCGGAACCCGAGGCATTATATCACAGAAGCTTGGGATAGTCGAATTTGAGGTACAGACGATAAGCACTAGGATGTGTCGATCAGTCAACTCTTTCAGTCTATCTCCGAGATCCGTTGGTCATCTCGTATTCCCGCTAATAGAAGGATTCTACATGTAGTAGGCTGAAACATAGCGTATTTACCCTGGTGTAGGCGATCGCTTCAATGAAACCTCGGCATTTACAGGAGACTGAGTCTAGGACAATATTCATCGTAACTTCCCTAGCCAGACCATGAAGGATATAAACCCGATTTTCCCACTCCAAAGTTCCTCATGTTCTTTGGCAACGCAGTATTCTTACCTCTCTTTTTTTATCAATACTCTTTGTCATCATACAATGAGCTCCAACATTAACATTTTTAAACTTCTTGCCGTCGCCGGCCTTCTTTCTGCATCCGTGGCGTGTTCGACTGAGTCTGATGTGGAAATTACTTTTTATGGGTATCCTGACAACGATCCTCCCAGTGCGGATATTGCTTATGATTGTGGTCGTGGTTACACGGCAGGAGGTACGTTCTCGAAGTTCTTCGGGCTGATTATGTCAAAGCTGACAGCTGCTAGGCACCGGCACCTATGATGACCCTCTCACCTTTGCCACTGCTCCTGGGGAGTTTGAAAAGTGTGAGATCGTCTATCTGCCGTACCTTCGCAAGTACCTCCGCTTCGAGGACACATGCGCGCAGTGCAGTAAGTAACCTCACGCTTAGTAGTGTGCCTCCGCTGACAGAAACAGCTACCGATTATGACAACGGCAAGCTCCACATCGATATTTGGACTGGATCTACCAAGTCCAGTGGTGGCGATACCCAGATTGACTGCGAAGATTCTTTGACCCCGGATGATTCTAAAACCGTCATCATCAGCCCGGGAACCTCCTACACCGTCAACTGTATGTTAAAGACCCCAGGCAGTACTTACCAGATATGACCTAACTGTCCATCCAAGCGGACGAGCTCTTTGCGAGCGGCAAATGCTATACATCGAACACTTATAGCAGTGCCGACGCTTCGAGCTACTGCAGTTCCGGTTCTTCGGGTTCGAGCTCCAGCTCTGGCTCCGGTTCCGGCTCCTCATCTTCCTGCTCCTGGTCAGGCCATTGTGCCGGTATGACCCCTCTTGGAACCCGTGCTTTGTGTTACACTGACCCATGGCATTCAGGTGCTTCCTGCTCAACCGAGAACGACTGCTCCGACAATCTCACCTGCCAGAGTGGCAAGTGCGCCTGAGCACAGTACTACTGCCGCGGTAGCTGGACGGACATTGTTGGACCAAAGTGCGTGACACAGGACAGGTCCTTCTACATTGTGTGATCATGTGATACAATCTGCTTGTCCTTCTTTACTTCAGGCAATCAAAACCCTGAGAAATTACCCTCAGAGGATTAGTATTACCTGGCGCGCGGACTCGCTGCCACTGGCCATGACAAGCAGAATCTGTTCAACTGCAACGGAACCATGTATTATAAAGCTATCTGTCTCATCGTTATATCATTAGTGAATTGATATTTCATCATGACGGGCCTTTCTGGTAGATATGCCTATCACATGCTGATGGCGATACTGCACTTCATCTGGTTTAATCTCCCCAGGACACAGCATTGTTTGTTGCGCCTGGGTATATGCATCCTCCGGATGGATTGTCAATTTGTCCACGGTGTGAGACGTCTTGCGGCAGAACGTCTGAGCTTCTTGGTGCTCAAGCTTTCTCGAGGTGGCGGACCTGGCAAATCACAATGAAAGGATTGAGGTTACTGCCATTATAGGAATGTATGACAGGTGGTCGTCACATCCCATGACTGTCGTAATTGGTCCAGTCGATCACCGGGTACCACCTGCTATCCCTCAGAGTAACAGCAGAAACGGCAAGATCCAGGTATACGTGCACCTTTGTACTGGCAGACGACTGCAGGAAGGATGTCTGTCCTTCTTTTGGCATTAGTTTGCCACATTGCTATCACCGCAGACCTCGTTCAACCTGGTAGTCGGCGGGTATAGATAGGTCGCTCTGACCACCAACAGCACACAGGCATGATACGTATCGGGTCCATCGTGCACTTCATAATCATGCTCTGTCCATTCGCTAAATCGCCCATACTTCTGTTTGTTTTTGCAACGTTTTTCCAAATCGGTCAATCCAGCACTATTAATTCGTCCTCATGTAGTGAATGCGAGGTTATTCGCCGAGACGTTTGTATTATCGGTGGTGGCGCTGCGGGCACTTATGCTGCGATAAATCTACTTCAAGAAGGTTATTCAGTCGTTGTGGTTGAGAAGACTGGTCGTTTGGGTGGCCATACTATCACGTATATCGAGCCGAGCACGGACACGCCGCTTGACTTCGGGGTGACCCTGTTTGAAGATTCACCGGAGACTATCGACTTTTTCTCTCATCTTGCAATACCGTTTGCAAAGGCTTCAAATGGCGGCGGATACATGGAACGCATTGACTTTGAGACCGGCGAAGTGGTCGAGCCGTATCCTGGTAATGTCAGCGAGGCTTTGGAACGCTACGGCGACATTCTCCGTCAATATCCCTATCTTTTGGAGGGATGGGACCTCCCGGAAGACATACCGGAGGATCTCCTGATGCCTTTCGGAGAATTCGTGGAACAATATGACCTGGGGGCTGCCGTCGAGTTGATCAGTATCTACAGCCAGGGGGTGCGCAACTGGCTAAACTACCCGACCGTCTATCTAATGAAGTTCGTGTCATTGGATATGTTACGAGCACTTAAATCGGGCTTTCTATCCACTGCTCGGCACCATAATTCGGAACTATACGAGGCTGCTCTGGAGGAACTGGGAGACGATGCTCTGCTTCATAGCGTGGTAATGAACGCGTGTCGGGAAGATGACGAACTGCATCGATTGACGGTGGAATCGACGGATGGCACACATTGGATGATCGAGGCCAACACGACTATCTTGGCTGCGCCCCCGACTGGGCATGTGCTGGATGGCCTAGATCTGGATGAATTTGAGTCTTCTCTGTTCAGTCAATTCATCTACGGACACTACTATGCTGGCCTGGTGCGGATAGACGGATGCCCCGAGGGAGTCCAGATTGTGAATCGTGGGTCCAACAGACCTTACTCGCTTCCCCTTCTTCCGTGTATCTTGATGATGTATCCGACCGCAGTACCAGGTGTGATGGCCGTTGGATACGGTAGCGAGGAGCCAATGACGGAGGAACAAGTCAAGGGGGCGATTGTGGAGGATATTCTGGGACTGCGCCGAGCTGGATACGATGTCGGCGACCCGGAATTCCTGGCGTTTGCCGACCATTCCCCCTTCGAAATGTCAGTTGGCCGGAAGGCCATCGAAGACGGATTCTACCACGACTTGAAGAAGCTGCAGGGACACCGCAATACGTACTATGTGGGGGCGACTTTTGAATATCCAGGGTCCTCGGCCATCTGGCGAGCGGTGGATCGACTGCTTCCATCGGTTGTTGAGAGCATTGAGAGGTCACAGAATTCACAGGTGTAGACGCGTAGCAGAAAGAAGAACACAATGTCACGAATCATGGGGCAGATTGTAGCTACAGTGTCCTGCTGGCAAATCACAAACCTGCAGATTATTGGTGGATAGCGTATCGCAGCGGCGATCCCTTGCTATTAGGGTACGTGTTGCCGATTGGTGGTTGGCACCAGATATCGGAAGGGATCCGGCGGGGGAAAAGATATGGCACTTGTCTTCAAAGCTCTAAATATCATTCTTAATCATCCCTCTTGGAATCTCGACACGTGTAGACCTATTATCCTTTGCTAATTCCTCAACTTTGCGACTTATTGTGATGGACACGGTCGCACCCGCTGCAGAGGCGCACGACGCGCCCGAAGAGTCGCCGGTGATCGCCTCCCGCGTGTTACGCAAGGTCGACAGTCGTCTGTTGCCTCTTCTCTTTATTACATACCTGCTTAACTTTATGGATAAAACTATCCTGTCGAGTGCATCTGTATTTGGGTTGATTGAAGATACTGTGCGTGTCTCTTTATTCACCGGTTAGGAAATAATTCACTCAAATCCACCAGCGTTTGGTCGGCCAGCAGTACAGCTGGGTATCCAGCATCTTCTACTTTGGATATTTCTTCTGGGAATGGGTGCGAACGTAATCCATCTCGATACCTTCATGAGATGAACTGACTCCCCTTCAGCCCACCAACGTTTTGATTCCTCGGGTGCCAGTCGCCAAATACCTTTCGATCAACACCTGGTTCTGGGGCGCCGTGGTAGCCCTCACGGCCGCCTGTACCAACTACGGCGGTCTGTTAACCGTGCGATTCCTTCTCGGGCTTGCAGAGGCCACCATCACACCGGCCTTTATGTTCCTTACCTCGACGTGGTACACCCGCGATGAGATTCCCTTCCGCACGGGCATCTGGTTCTCGGGCAACTCGGTCGGCGGGCTCGTCGCCAGTCTACTCGCCTATGGCATCGGCCACATTGACCATCCCCTGCATCCCTGGATGTGGATGTTCATTATTCTCGGCGTGGCCACCTTTCTCTGGGGTTTTGTGCTTTTCGCCTTCCTCCCGGATAGCATCTCCACAGCCACATTCCTCACTCCCGAGGAACGAGAATTCATGGCGCACCGTGCCATGATTGCAGGTACCGGTCGGACAGAGAAGACGACATGGAAATGGGCGCAATTCATCGAATGCCTTTGCGACCCCAAGACGTGGCACCTGTTCGCCCTGGCAGTGCTGACCCAGATTCCCAACGGCGGGACACAGAACTTTGGCAACCTCGTCATCAAATCCTTCGGCTTTACATCACTTCAGTCGACACTGATTGTCATCCCTGCCAGTGTGATCAGTGCCGGCACCATCGCCCTCACCGGCTGGCTGGCCAGTCGCTCCCACCATTGGAATTGTCTGCTGATTGTGTGTATTGTCGCACTGTCCATCACCGGCAGTGCCATCATCTATGCTCGTGCTCACCATGTGCCCCTCGGCGCCCAGCTCTTCGGCTACTTTCTGCTATCCACGGGTCCCGGAGCCCTCCCGCTCATTATGTCCCTCTTGCAGGCGAATTACCGTGGTGTCACCAAGAAAATGACCATCACCTCCATGATGTTCATCGCCTACTGCGCGGGAAATATTGCCGGGCCGCAATTCTTCAAGTCAAGTGAGGCCCCGCTCTATCAGACTTCGTTTCGGGCTATCCTCATCTGCTATATTATTTCCGCGGCGTTGGCGGTGTCGTTACGATGTTATCTGCAATGGATTAATCGGAAGCGCGATCGTGAGGAAGGGGTCCAAGGGACGGCGACCCTGGCTGGTGCTGTAGGAGGCAAAGTTGCCAATCAGCGACAGGATGGGAATGATGTGTCGGTGTTGGTGCAGTCGGTCGAGTTGCAGGCGGAGGATTATGAGGATGCGACCGATTGGAATACGGTCGGCTTCCGCTATCGGTTGTAGGTAGAGATATAGCTGTCTCAGCAGATGCAAATGGAGTCAAGACCAATTTCAGGTAATTGAAAGTGTGTGCCACCGAGTTTTCCTTCGCAGGAAGTATGTTTTTTGGCTGAGGTGGTGCTACCGACCAGAAATTTCTTTACCCGAAAACCTCCTCTCGCACCGCCTTTCGTAAACAGCCTGAACATTCATTCACCTTGACTTCATGCTTCCTGCACCCCATGACTTTCCTCTGACTGGCGTCTGGCGTCTGGCGTCTGGCGTCTGGCGTCTGTGCTGATCTTCCGTGGTGAGCTCGCTGACTAGCTGCGCCGGGATCTGTTCCGAAGCATTCGGCTGCTCCATTTAGCCTCCAGCCTCGACGAGAACTAAATCAATTGTGCCTGTGCTCGTAAGGGAGCATTCCAAAGCTGAGTGCGGGTTCCAGTTTCCGGCTTTTATCATACCGCCGAAGGATGGTCCAGCAATCAGCTTTCTAATCTAGGAGAGGTACAATCACATCCGTGAATTCAGTGTCCTCATTGCAGGTTAAACTGCGTGATAGCAGTGGTCCAGGGCTTAAACTAAGACTGATGGAGTCTTCGCGGCAGCTTCTACGGAGCGAGCTGTAGTGCCGGCGCAGTCATTGTCAGTAATCAGTAGATGTATACAGACGTATGTTTTGGCAACTTACAAATTGTTAATGTAACCTCTTTTCTACCGGTGCAAAAACTATGACCATTCCATATCTAAAAAATGAAAAGAGAATTGATGAAAATATCAGAGTCAGAATGTCCACCGTTTCATGTCGTTAACTAGTATCGGAAACACTGCGGGTGCTCACCAAACCCAAACACAGTCATGAATGTAAGCAAGTAGAAGAACAGAGGCGTTAGAGAAGGAAACCATATACTCCACAAGAAGAAGCATCAGACTCCCATTATAAGCTTCCTACAAGGTTCCGAGAAAAGATTGCTAGCGAGGACTTGGTAATTATATAGTATATCTATGAATCACTGGTCTAAGAGTAGTGATAAAGCTAAACCCAGTTGTCCATCCTTAGTACGCAGACATCTATCACATTAACCCTTCAAGTTGATAGGCATGATTCTTACCCTACTTAGTATAGGTTTCATCCCTTAGGCAACGATGGCAGAGAAAACAGGATTTTTCCAGCTAAGCTGATTGTTCAGCCTGATGACCCTTACTCTGAGCCTGAGTCTACGAAGAAGGCCAAGGGTACACAACCTGCAAGGCAAGCAATGGCTCCAGGCAGCAAGATATCTAGCCATTCAGACGAAGCATTCGCACTTCCTTCCATTAGTGCCAAGAGTTAGCGTGACAGCATTGCCCCTACGAGGGATGCCGCGAAGCGCTGATAAGCAAATTCGATTGTATTCTACCAAGCAGTCATAAGTCGTCCTATCTGACATCAAATAGCTATAAATCATTGTTCTCCTAGGGTCAGACCCCTTTTTTTTTCTCATTCCCTGTTTCATTGTATCTTCAGTCATTTATTTCTGTTGAGGTGTGCTGGTGCGCTTTGTTGTCCTTCATCTCTTCATCCATTATAGAGCCACCAATAAAAAGCTCAGCCCGAACAAGAACGAATCACCCACAAGCAATAAGCGAAAATTTCTCACAATTGCATGCGTACAGGCTTGTGCCATACACAGCATGGTAGCCAACTTTTCAACGATCGGTGGAAGAGCACCTCAATATCCTCCCGGTTCAGGATGTGCGGAGCGTCTTGCAGGGCGCGGCGGATATTCTCCCGCCCGTACTCAGCCATGTTCTCATAGACCTCCCAGCGGGTCATGTTGCCAAACACCTTCTCCCTGAGCATGGGAGTGAGGGGATGCAGGGGATCATCCAATCGCTCAGAGAGCGAGTTTACCCATTGCTCGTAAGGCACTCCTTCCATCTTGTAGGGAGAAAGCTGATTGAGCAGGTCAAAGCTGGTGTTGATGTCGATAGCGTTGTTAAGGTCAGGCTGCACGAGATTGTAGGCGTGGCCCAAATTCTCGTGGGTTGTGGAGATATGAAGGATGGAATCGACAACGAAGTCTACAGGGATGAATTCCTTGCGCTGGTTGGGTAGGATGGGATACAACCCCATGTCCATACAGCTGGTGAAGAGCCGGGAGATGAAATCGTCCGGGTTACAGATGCCGGACTTGCTATGGCCCAGGACAAATCCTGGACGATAAATGGCCACGGGGAAGCCGTTGTCAATGGCATTCCAAACTATCGCCTCCGCCACGTACTGACTTTGAGCATAACCAGTGTCGCTGGGCAGAGCAGCCAAGTGCGGCGCGGGCCGTTCATCCTCTGGCAGCAGCTTGGCGCCCGTAACATATCCAGTTGGACCGTAAGCCGCGATGGTGGACGAGTAGTGCATGGCCTTGGTCCGCCGGTGGGTGGCAAACTCGAGCATGTTCAAGGTCCCGATAGTATTCTCCTGGCGGTGGGAGGAATAAGGAGCGACGTAGCTCACCTTGGCCCCGAGGTGGAAGATCACACTAGACCATGTGGCGAAGTAATCGTACTGCTCCGGAGACAGACCCAGCCTTGGCTGTCCGAAATTGCCTGGCAGGGCGATGACCTTGTCCATGTTTGCGTAGAGATTGTACTTCTCCATGGTCTTCTCCAGACGTGCCCGGGCTGAGGGTTCGTCCTCGGCGCGCACCAAGCAAGCTACCTTTTTAACATCAGGCCGCTTCACGAGTGTGGCCAGGAGAAACACGCCCACAAATCCCGTAGCTCCCGTCAGGAAGACCCTGCCTTCATTTTCGTCCTGCCAGTGAGGAATAATGCCTCCGATAGGCCGCAAGTGTTCGCCCAACTTAGAGTCCTGTAGCCAGACCTCCTGTTCAGCCTGAATACTTGAGTCGTCTCCATGAACTTGGATGTTGGTCACAAGCCGCGTCAGACTCTCGAAGCTGGTATTCTCGTAGAGCATTTGGGCGCGCAACGAGATGCCAAATGTTTGATTGATGCGAGCGATCATGGTGGCGGCGATCAAGGACGTTCCACCCATGGCCACGAAGTCGTCGGTTGGACGTAGATGCTCGACAGTGAGACCAAAGACGTCAATCCAGATATACTCCAGCTTAGCAGCGTTGCTGCCAGTGTTGACACTTCCATTGGCTCCATTAGCCCGTGAGCGCTTGAGCTTCTGGTAATACCGTTCTTCCAGAGCCTTCCGGTCCGCTTTGCCGGTGGAGCGAAGGGGCAAGACGTCAATGAGCTCCAAACGGGGAACCATGAGATCTGGTGCTTGCTCCATGTAGGCTTTCATGATGGCGCCATCCGCAACATCAGGTGAGGAAGGAATACAGTAGGCCAGCAGAAACTGGCCACGGCCAACTTCTTCCGGTGTGATCTTCACCACCACAGCAGCACTCACTAGGCCCGTGCCAACTAGGGCCGATTCCAAGGCCTCCAGTTCCACGCGTTGGCCACGAATCTTGATCTGATTGTCTTTCCGTCCGAGGTAGTAGTACACGCCTTTCTCATCTGCACGCATCAAGTCTCCAGTTCGATACATGTGGTGGGGTCCCCGCTCCACCTTCCGGTGCAGTTGCGGAAGAACAACGAAGCTCTTGGCAGTTTTCTGAGCGTCCCCAATATATCCCCCGGCAACACCTACGCCAGATACCACGAGCTCGCCGACTTCACCCACCTTGACTGTGTTCATATTGTCATCAAGGAGAAATACCTCGACGTCGCCGAATGGCTTTCCCACGGGGATCTCACCCCGGCGGGCCTCGTCTTCCGAGACTTGGTGATACAAAACATATATACTGGCTTCTGTCGGACCATAACCATTGATAATGCGGCCTGGGGCTCCGGCATCGAAGATGGATTGGATTGTCTGGCAGTTGATTGCCTCACCTCCAGTAATAAGGGTGTCCAGAGTCGAGAAAGCATCCGGATAGGCGTAAGCCGTCACGGTGAGCAGAGAGGTTGTGAGTTGCAACACATTGAGTTCTTTCTCTTTGACGAACACGCTAAGAGCAGACGGATCAAGGACAATCTCATGGGGGATGATGACCATGGTTGCTCCGCGCAGCAAGGGACCCCATATCTCCACCAGGGAGGTATCAAAGATGACGTTGGAACCGTGCCCAACACGCTGTCCCTTCCGAATGAGGTCCGCTGAATCCAGGCAAAGATTAATTAGCCCCTCCGCAAATGCCTCGACTGCCTTCGGCTTGCCGGTTGTGCCCGAGGTGTGGAGCACATGAGAGCATGTCTGCGGCCCGTTCTGACTGGGGGCAATGTTTAGATCGAAGGTCTCCGGAACCACGCGATGATCAACCACCAGATGTTTAACGCCCGGTAGTCTGTGCTGCTGTACAATATCCGTGATGACGAGGGTCGATCCCAAGTTTTCCAGCATGTCTCTGAGCATCTCGTCTGGGAGCTTGGGGTCCAACGGCACACAAGCCCGGCCCGAGTAGATCACAGCGGCCTGCGACAATACGTGATTCAAACTGCGGGGGGCAATAATGCCGACTGGCGAAGGGTCATTGTGGAGCATACTGTTGACCTGGTCGGCGACGAAGAGGGCCTTTTCGTGAAGTTCGCCGTATGTGACTTCGTACTGGCCTTCTTCAATGGCAATGGCTGTGCCGCGGACCATGGCTTGCCGCTCCAGGAGCTCAGCCAGGCCCAGCCCGGTGTCACATCCATTTTCCAGACGCTCTGAGATAAGTAACGACGGTGACATGGTGGTAAACTAGCAGATAAGCAGCAGCTTAATGCTATTGTGAAAATTGAATGGGATCTGTGGTTGAGCAGTCTCTACCGGCTCGGGGACGTCTCCTCATATACTCTTTCCTCCACGGACAGTGTTATGTCTCGGGCTTGCCTTCGCCATGCTCCATGACTAAATCTGCGCCCACCGAGGTTGATGTGGTCGTCCAGAGGCATACCATTGGCCTCTACTGTTACATTCAAGACTACTCGATCTGTTAAAGCAGACCTAGACAAGCGAATCCCTTGCCTGTTCCAGCGGCCAATCCCGCTCGGTTATGTGATCGATGATCATAGGAAGTCCATGTCATGGACACGCAGGATGCAATGTTCAAAAGACATAAGCCCTCACCGTCGCCATCAAGACCGGGGTATATCGAAGCCAGCGCGATTCTCCGAGCCACCGGTCCTCCTTGCTCGTGCGAGGAGGTTGGAATGCCGCAAAACCTGGTCCTGATACCAAGATCCGGCTCCGCGGCGTTTACACAGAATAGGTCTATCCACTTGAGGCCCTGCATGTTGACATGGTCCCGGAAACTTTTGAGTCGACATGGGTCAGGTGTACTTGCGACGGCGCAGTGGCCATGTAAGATGGGCCGATGGCGCAAGGTTGAGAATTATGTTTAATCAATATGTGCGTTCGAGGTCCACAGAGTTGCTCAAACCTGCCATGGTGTTCTGGCGAGCGGTTTCGGTGCCAACTAGTGCCGCAGCGGTGAATGATGCATGCTGAAGTTAACGTACAAGGACAGTCCAGAAGAACCCGGCTGGGTCTGGAAGCCACAACTCAGCCCCCCAGCTTCCATGATGCCACCGGCTTTCTGCATTAACACTGCCGTCTGGACAGGGTAGGCACGTTCCAAATAGGTTGAGATTGGCGCGGGATTGAGGCGATACAAAAGCTTAGAGATCGCCGCGGCGCGTTCCTCAGTCTCTCGCCCACGGTGAGGCGGGGATGATCTATCTCTCAATAAATCAGAACCCGGTTCTAGGACTGTCCTTGGGTGTGCATCAGCATTGGCATAGGATGATCCAGAGCAGCTTTGGTGGAGATCCAGTGGGTTCTTCATGCTGCTGTTGCTGTTCCAGCATCGGCCCTTGTGCGTACCGCTTATGTCAGCCTCGTGCAGGACTCCGGCCATTGTCCCTAATCAGAATTCGCGCTGCTGCAGGATAAACTAGAAAGGATGTCCACTCACGGACTGCATCCTGCAACCAAATGTCCCCCTTTCAAGGCGCAACCGTGGCCCAGTTTTCTGGGTGCGCAGCCTCCAGTCACCCGGCACCCCTCGCGCGGACTTTATCCAGTGACTGGACCTCTAAAAAGGCGCACCACAATCCGTCATAACGCTATGATACATGCTACGGGTCAAATTCCCGTCGCTGGAGCTGTCGGCAAAAAGTAGAAAGGAGAAACCTCGAGGTAAAGTACGCCTCATTGTGCCTGATAGTCGTTGTTCAAGAGCCTATATAAGCCTTCCTTTTACCACCAACCCCAGTTTCAAAGTATTGTAGCGGCGGGCTGGTCCGTGGATCATTTGATGTAGCGAGCGATCAGCGTGGAGGAGCCTCGTAGACAACTGTAAATTAACCAGATTGACTTGGCTAGCAGCACATGAACAGGGCATACCAGGACTGGCGGGGTGGAGATGGCGCCATGGCCATGGCCAGGCCCCTCGACCAAGGCTTTGCAAGGGAATCGAACCTTTGCATGTATGTAAGTAGCAGTGAGTTGCAGAACATCGTGCATGTCTTACGTAGCACGACCAACATTCTGGCAGGGTTCGATGGGGTGCCTCTTTGCCGCCTCTTTACCATGAGCTGCTGTTCATATAGCCTGAGACGCACCGTAGTATGAGTGAATTAGGTCCCGTTCAATTTCCCGGATAATAAAGTTCAATTCGTTTACCAGTATCCTGCAACGTCTCATCCCACTTGGGGAGCCCCAACTCCAGTAAGTAACCGTCCAGCACGCCATCCTAAGACATCTGTTATATTCTCTATAATATATACAGAGTACTCGTAGGTGAGTTAGGTATGGGGGGACGCCACATCTCACCGCTGCAATCATTCTGAAGTCGTCACCTGGGCCCTAGTCTGGCTAGATCTCAGATCATGCCATCATGGCAGGAAGGGTAGAAACCATTCCAGGAGAATTGTCTGTTCTCTCCAGCGTCGAATCTTCTAGGCGAATGGGGAGTGTGGCAGATTATTCTTCGCTGAGAGACACAGTGTCAGAAGTCATTGCCATCCCTTCCTTCCTTCTTCCCTGATGAGATTCTAGAAGGGGCCAAGAATCCCGCAGAGTCCCGTGATCTGATTGGCCCTTTTTACATGGGTCTTTCTCCGTCCTTCGATGGATCCATCAATTCTTCTTCTCCCTGATAATAAAACATTACCAGAGGGGTAGGTTAATATTCCCGCAGTCAACTCTGCCATCTCTGCCTCCTCGGTTAGATAACTTTTCCACGGCTCATGTAATGAGGGGAAGACTGCACCATGTAATATCCGTGGCCTCCGCTGGAACCACCGCCAAGAAGGTAAAACCCCGACCGTAATGTCACTCCTAGCATCTTTCTTATTGTCGATTTCGACAGAACACCACGTTTCATTCCCAGAAGGGACCCAACAACAAAGTGGATAGTGTCAGATCCAACGGATCCACTCCTCCCACTACAACGGATCCCATCCCCTAAAGAAGCAGCTACGCCGCATCCCCGATCCATTCTTTGGCCTCGCCTTCATTGCTCTTCGCGATCGGGCCAATCGGAGTCTCTCGGATGGGGTGGTTTCCAATGGAAGTGAATGAATTGCCCCCTATCCCTATGCCCAGATACTACTACGTAGTAGCTAGTAATCCTAAATCGCCCTTTCCCAGGGCCATGGCGAGCCTCAACTTTCCTTCCACACCATTCATGGTCCAATCTCGTGTAGATTGACACTGTCGATCGTACTCAGCTGTCTGATGCCTCGTCAGCTGGTCGCTTTGACCTCCATTTTGTGATCCCCTCAGCCGCAATTGAATTGACACTCTGGTAGTGACACACCACATAAAAGATCTGGTGTTCTCCCCGCTTGACTAGGACCGTTCACTCTTATCACTCATATTATCACATACTACGCACAGACTTGAAACTAGCAATCATGTCGGCTTCCAACAAGGTCCGTGTCGCTGTCACCCAACACGAACCCGTCTGGCTGGATCTGCACGCCACCGTGGATAAAACCTGCCGTTTGATCGCCGAGGCGGCGGGCAATGGCGCCCAGCTAATCGCTTTCCCCGAATGTTGGCTTCCGGGATATCCAGCATGGATCTGGTCAGCATGATCCTTAATCCGAAAGTTACTTCGCGACCGAATATGTACTAATCATTAAGCAGGTGCCGCCCCGTCGACATGGGCCTGTTCACTACTTACCTCAAGAATTCCCTGTCGTATGATTCGGAGCACATGCGCCGCATCTGCAATGCCGCTGCCCAGTACAAGATCACCGTCGTCCTGGGTTTCTCGGAGCGCGATGGCAACTCTCTCTACATCGGCCAGTGCACGATCGATTCCACCGGCAAGATCGTGATGCGTCGGCGCAAGATGAAGCCCACTCACATGGAACGCACCGTGTTCGGCGAATCTTCCGGGCAGAGTCTCTTGAATGTCGTCGATCTGCCGATTGGTAAAGTGGGTGCCCTCGCGTGCTGGGAACACATCCAGCCACTGCTCAAATATCACACCATGATTCAAGGGGAGGAAATCCATGTCTCCGCCTGGCCAGTTCTACATCCCCATATGGGGGGCGAGTCACTGTGGGGCATGTCGCAAGAAGGTAAGACCCCTTTCAGGACCAGCGAGGTCTACCACGGAGAACTAACGTAGATACCAGGTGGAATGGGTGCGTCCCAGGTATATGCGCTCGAGTCGGCGTCATTCGTTTTGCTCGCGACCGCAGTGCTAGGTCCCAGCTGCGTGCAGAAGATGAACTTGTCACCGCCGTGGGATACCCTGGGAGGAGGCGCGTCTGCCGTCATCGCCCCTGATGGTCGCCGGCTGACGGAGCCATTGCCCCCTAATGAGGAAGGATTCATTTACGCAGATGTGGATCTAGATGTAATCTTGTCGTGTCGACACTTTGTGGATGCCTGTGGCCATTATAGCCGTCCCGACCTGTTGTGGCTGGGGGTCGACACGCGCGAGAAAACACCACACCGACCGGAGGGACAGGGAGACAATACCACAAGCAATCTGGATAGTAGTTCAGTCCTTGTGGAGGAGGAAAGTACCTGAGGCTATCCCGACTTTCAATGGCCTGCATCGGAGCCCGCCGACATATCCTACCAGATGGTGGTCCCGGCAAACACATTTCTTATTTTAGCCACCCCGACCATGTCTGGAACAAAATTAATACCAATAAAATTATTTAATATAAGACCATGTTCCATCTGGCGTACGTTTCTTCGAGCAATTCAAGAGTTAGAAGACACTTCGCGGACCCATCAATATATTCTTCTCATGGTCAGCACCATGTGCAGCCCGGAAGACAACCGGATAAATCTGGGATGAGCTAACATGATGCTGCAGTCCGACTGCTAATGGTCCTGCCGATCAGGGCGCGTCTTCACCCTGTCGAACACCTCTGATTTGTGGAATCCCACCACTCCCTGTAGTTCCGTAGCTGCACTCCTCTGTATTCCTATGCATCGTGTTTTTGCTTCAATGCTACTGAGTACATCCACAGTCTCGGGTAAATGCACGGTTATTCTATATATTGTTCATCTCCTACTTGCGAATGACCCGCATGCACCAATGTTCCCCCAACAATGCGTCCCTTCTACTCCGCTTTCGTAGCAGTCATTCCCTTGGTTCTCGGCAACTTCGATGCCTCCCATGTCTCTTGGTATACCACCCCGGCCAACAACTTCACCTCCACCCTCCCCATCGGTAATGGCAGACTGGGCGCCGCCATCTGGGGCACGGCGACCGAGAATGTCACCCTCAATGAGAACTCCATCTGGAGTGGTCCGTTCATCAACCGCGTCAATCCCCGCTCATATGATGCCCTCTGGTCAGTTCGGTCGCTTCTGGCAGAGGGAAACATGACAGAGGGGAATGATGTCACTCTAGCAAATATGGTTGGCATTCCTGATTCGCCGCAGTCATACAGTGCCCTGGGATCGCTGGTCCTGGATTTTGGACATAACCAAGCGGGGATAAGTAATTACACCAGATACCTAGATTTGAGGACTGGTGCAGCAGTAGTGGAGTATACTTATCGGGCTGTGCATTATCGGTATGTTGCTCTGGTGTGTTTAAGCGGATATTGGCTGATCAAGTCAGACGAGAGTATGTGGCCAGCTATCCGGATGGTGTCGTCGCTGTGCGGCTGTCATCCAGCCAGCCAGGAAGTTTGAATGTAGCTTCTTCGCTGGCTCGTGATCGATATGTTGTTTCCAACAATGCAACCGTCTGGGATGATGGCGGTGTCTTGACGCTGAGGGCTTACTCGAACAACGTTACGAATCCCATTCACTTTACGACCGAGGCCAAAATCGTCTCCGATGGTCAGTAGAGAATGAGATCGATCTGCACCCTAGATTCTGACTTGGATAGGGCGCGCTACGTCCAACGATACGTATCTTATAGTTCAAAATGCGTCCACAATCGACATCTTCATCGACACCGAAACTTCCTATCGCTACACAACTCCCGAAAAGTGGGCAGCTGAAATCAAAGCAAAGCTCGACACTGCCTCGAGATCGGATTTTCTCACCGTTAAGCAGAATGCGATCGCCGATTATTCAGCTTTGGCGCAGCGAGTCGACCTAAACCTGGGCTCCTCTGGCTCGGCGGGAAACCTGCCCACCGACACTCGACTGGTAAACTATCGTATTAATCCTAACAGTGACCCTGAGCTAGCTGTCCTAATGTTCCACTTTGGCCGGCACTCGTTGATCGCCTCGTCGCGCGCCACCGAGTCACCCGCCCTACCGGCCAATCTGCAGGGCCTGTGGAACCAGGACTTCGATCCCGCTTGGGGTGGGCGATTCACCATTGACATCAACCTCGAGATGAATTACTGGCCAGCAGAGGTCACTAACCTGGCTGACACCTTTTCCCCGTTTATAGATCTGCTGGACATCGTGCATGACCGAGGGCTGGATGTAGCTGAAAGCATGTACCACTGCAGCAACGGCGGGTATGTCCTTCACCACAACACCGACCTCTGGGGCGATGCTGCTCCCGTCGATAACGGGACAACCTGGACGATGTGGCCGATGGGCGGGGCATGGCTGTCGGCTAATCTGATGGAGCACTATCGCTTCACACGGGATGAGGGTGTTCTCCGGGACCGCATCTGGCCACTTTTACAGAGTGCTGCGAGGTTCTACTACTGCTATCTCTTCCCGTTTGAGGGCTACTATAGTACCGGACCATCACTGTCCCCGGAGGCCTCCTACATCGTGCCAGATGATATGACCACAGCGGGCAACGAAGAGGGCATAGACATTGCTCCCACGATGGACAATTCCCTGCTCCATGAGCTCTTCCAGGCTGTCACTGAAACATGCGACGTCCTGGGAATCAACAACACAGACTGCACCAACGCTGCAAAGTATCTCTCCATGATCAAACCACCACAGATCGGCTCCTCCGGTCGGATCCTAGAATGGCGACTGGACTACGAAGAATCCGACCCCGGCCATCGACACATGAGTCCGATCGTCGGTCTGTTCCCCGGCGATCAACTGGCCCCGCTCGTCAAAGAAACGCTCGCCACGGCCGCCAAAGAGTTCCTGGATTGGCGCATTGCGCAAGGCAGCGGAAGCACCGGCTGGTCACGCACCTGGACGATGAATCTGTATGCCCGGCTATTTGATGGCGATCAGGTCTGGAACCATACGCAGATCTATCTGCAAAGGTTTCCCAGTCCGAACTTGTGGAACACGGATTCCGGCCCGGATACTGTGTTCCAAATTAATGGGAACTTCGGGTTTACCTCCGGAATTGCGGAGATGTTGCTGCAGAGCTACAAAGTTGTACATTTGCTGCCGGCGCTTCCGGCCGCTGTGCCGACAGGACATGTCTCGGGTTTGGTGGCTAGAGGGAACTTTGTCGTTGATATGGCATGGTTGGGGGGTGTCCTGACGGGGGCGAATATCACCTCGCAGAGTGGCAGCACGTTAGATATTCGTGTCCAGGATGGGTTGGATTTTACGGTCAACGGAGAAAGATATACAGGAGGTATACAGACAGATGCTGGGAAGGTGTACACGGTTGTGCCTGTCTAGTGTATATACATTTGTTCTATATACATACACATCTCTCCTCAAGTACAGCTGACCTACTGCCGTACCCCCAACCCAAACATCCTGACACTATTCTCCCACGCTGCACCCGCCACCTCCTGCACTGATATCCCTTTTACCCCCGCAACCACCATCGCTACCCTCTCCATGAAACAGCTCTCGTTACGGTTCTTTACCATCTGCCCCGAGATAAACTTGTTGTGCTTCCTCACCGGTGGCATTTCCCTCGCCTTCTCCAAGAATGGCGCAATCTTCTCATCCCCACTCAACACCTCGCACCACGGCGCATCCGTCTCCAACTGCAACTTCTCCAAAGGAATCGCCTTCACCATCTCCAATTGCTCCTCCGTCCGAAAACATACCCCATTCACACTGACATTCAATCCCAGCTCATCGGTTAATTGCCGCATCTCGCTCACAGAGCCAGTAAAGGAATGAACCAGTCCGCCCTTAGGTAACCGGGGTAGATACGAACGGATAATCTCGATGAAATCGGCACAGGATTCCCGAACGTGCAGGAACAACGGGAGTTGGAATTCCACTGCTAGATCGAGTTGATCCTTGAATGCGCGAATCTGCGTCTCCTTGTCGGCGCGGTCGAGGTACTCGTAGTCCAGTCCGATTTCGCCGAATGCTACCAACGGGGAGTTCTCCTCGCGGAGGAGGGTTTGGCCTAGTTCGCGGATCTGGGAGAGATAGGATGCTTCATTGGTGGAGGCGTAAATCTCTCCTGCGTGGTACGGGTGCACGCCTAGTGTTAAAGTGCATGTTTCTGGGTGTTGACGGACGAGTTTCAGGTTGCGGTGGAATCCTTCCAGGTTCATAGTCGTTAACATCATCTTTTCGCAGTTGTAGGCTTTGGCCCGCTGGATGACTTCCCCGAAGTCGCAGGTGTGGTATTGTTTGCCGCGATAGATGCCTTGGAACTGGTCGGCCGTGTAGGTTATCGCTACCTGTTTACTTGTTAGTGGATATGAAGGGCAATGCTGTGTCTGGTTGGGCTTACATCGGCGAAGCGGAGGGGCTTTGTGTCTGTCGCCATTGTTGAGGGAGCGAATGTCTGGTGTTGCTTTATTGGCGGCCTTGAGGTGTAAATGTTGTGATGGAAAGAGCGTACTTCTATGATTCTAATCGCTGATTCAATATATCTGGGTGTTGAGAGGGTAAGTGTGGAGTGTGGCGCTGCCTGCAGCTTGTCTGGTGTAAGGCGTGAAAATTTTCTTGTGAGGTGCTTGGCGCATCCGACGATCTCCAACATGATGCTTCACGCAGCCACTCCTTCCTCTACAAACTAGACGCGTTTCATATGCAATCTTGAGTCTTGGAGAATACTTTTCGCCAAGTTTAGGTGTTCTTGGCGTGTAATTAGAGGCAATAGTCCGTCTGCTAACCAAATATATATTTCTGCGGGAACATTGCTGTTCACCCCGCAGTGGAGTTTACTGGCAACACAAATGGATTCAGCATATTAGGGTAACACAACGAATAGTAATATGTTGTAAAATCCTTCTAGCGAGCAGAAGGAAGGAGAGTAGGTACAACTGTCTATCTACGTCTAGAGAGCACTCGACTTCCCTATATTATATTTCTAAGACCCTTCCCCTCAAAGCTTTTCGAGGTGGCGAATCGAGTATGTGTTTGAAGTTTAATCCGCCGAGTTCGTAGGTCAACACCAGGTCAGCAATGATCATGCAATAAGTCTAATGTGAAGCAAGTAGCTCTCCCGAGCTTTGCACCTCGTTATGCGAAAACAATATGCCCATGAATTTGACCATCTCGGCAGCTGCAACCGTCAGACTTTCTTCCTCATTATATCGGGATAAACTCACCTGTAATGCGCTTGACGGTCGTGTCATTCTCATCGACTCCATTAATGCGTGTATACTCCAGGACCAGGTCGACACGCGATCGTCTTGCTTTCTCGTATAGGGCCAACCGAGCCGGGATCTCGTGGACCGGGGTTCCAGCCGGGAGTAGCACCGCTAGGGATACCGCATCTTCGATGGCCATGGCACCTCCTTGACCCATGTCTGTTATCGTTAGCTTATGCGATGACCCTCTTAAGATGATGGACCTACAAGGCTGGAATGGGTGTGCTGCGTCGCCTAGTAAAGCAGAGAATCCTCTCACCCACGATGGGAGAGACTTCATATCGAACAACTCCCAGACCTTGAGATTCTCGTCCGCTGCGTGGACGAGCTCCCTGACTTCGGGACTAAACCCGGAGAATCCAGTGACAAGAGCATTCTTATTTCCGACCGCTTGCCAGCCTGCGGTAACCGTTAGCGACAATACTCATAATTGAACAATCCGCAAAGGGCATACCTTCAGCGGCATCACCAGCTTCCGCAGTGGGAAGGAAAGCACAAAGATTGAACATCGTATTGTCAGAGCAGGGGTACGCCACAAGTCGGCGATCATCACCAGCCCATTCGATAAACACTCCGGGATCGCGCACAATCTCCTGAGTGGCAGGGAGATGGCGCAACTTGTCTGTCGGGAGAAGCCACCGGAAACACGACTTACCAGCCGGGAATGGAGGAGGCGGCGTCTGTCCGATCACCTCACGGACGACGGACTATATATGGTAAGTCGACACTCAATGAATAACAAGTGAATTTACATACGCGCAGACCGTCAGCCCCAAGAAGAAGATCCGCTTCATGTCTCTCGCCGTTGTCGAGAGTTACGGAAGGGCGCGGGCTGTCAACATCGATGTTGACGATCTTGCAGCCCATGTGGAGAGTGGCTGTCTGGATGGCGCGCTGCTTGAGGTAGTTGTGCAGGTCGACTCGGTGGACCAGATACCATTCCTGGATTTTTGGTGAGAATTATCCCAAGTCTTATATGGAGGACATACTGCTTGCCATTTCTGCCGGATTTCGGCAAAGTCTTTCAGGTACTTCAAGTTTCCGAAATGGTCATAACGGTGAATCTATACCGTCAGTAGCTGTGCAGATATCAAGCACCGCCAGGTATACCTGTTCCAATAAGGTGCCACCAAATTCTTTGGGGTCAATGCCCAGCCAGTTCAGCAAAGCAGTGCAATTGGGAGGCACATGGATGGCGGCGCCCGTCTCCCGGGCGAATGAGGATTTTTCGATGATCTGCAGTCCTCAGTATATCTTTCAGGAGTCGATGCATGTATAGATTTAGTTGACGTACCACAACTTGATGGCCCTGCTGGCCCAAAGCAATGGCGGCCGTCAACCCCGCAATGCCGGCACCGACAATGAGGACCTGCAGCGGTCGGGATTCCTGAGAGATGGTCATTGGATAGATACAATGTTTTAGTGTGGTGCTAAATTCTTGATAGAAATGGTAGTTCCATCCCTGCTTCCTGAACAGCTTTTAATGCAGGGTGAAGACATCCCCATCAGGTCGGAGATGAGGACTCGGGGAATTGCTCGGAGATACGGTATCCGGCGGAATCTGCTATTCTGTCCTGTCCTATAAAGCTCGAGAGGCCAAATAGAACCCTATGCTCTACACCGTTAAATCGCTCGTTCCATGGTTGCTCCACCGGGCCGCCGATCTTTCCTCGATGCCGCAGTTGATCCATGGATCCGTCGCCGTCCTAAGTATTTTCCCCGCCACGCGGCTCATTCTTTTTCCTGCCACAGGGACCTTTTGGGGTGGACTGATCCAGTGCAGCGCTTCGATTGGTATTCAGATCAGAGGCAATGCCTAAATATTCTCTAACTATGCAGTGCATGTGCATGGAACCAGGGTGAAAGTTTCGTTGCGGGAACAGGGTCCGACCCTCGTTCATGCTCCTCAACATTTCACTATCGGTCCCTATTCTACAGGACAGGAAAGTGTTGTCTTATCTCTCGAGCATGCCCAGAGAGTAGAATTATCAGGCCAGACAGTGCGATCGTCTATCATTCCAGGAAATTCAGAGCGGTGAAGCAGTGCTTTACATTTCACATTGTAGCATTTCGAATCCGCCAGCCCCCGTAAAACTTGGAGCATAAAAAACATATCGTGTACTAAGACTTAGTATCCTCAACATGAGTCGAACCACCCCTCTCGGCATCTGCCTCCTGTGCCTTGAAATCGGTTTTATCGATCACTTCCATCTCTGCATGTGTTGCCGGGACGGTAGCATTTGGATCCTCCCGGTCCCAGCTCTTGTTCAAGCTGTTCAGCGGCATGAGCGTCAGAGTCAAAACCAAGCAGAAGATAACCTAATCGCATTACAATTAGCAAATCTCAATCCAAGATATATGTAGTAACCGTGTATACTTACAATTCCCACGAGGATCATTTGCGTCTTCGCATAATCCGGTGACCCGTCAGCAGTCGGGAACCGCTCTCCCAGCGACGTTTCGATCGTGGGTGCAATCGACGAGACCGCATTGCCAATGTTGTACGCCACACCAGTAAAGGCAGCTCTAATGCCAGGATGAGGGCACAACTGCTGCAACAAGTTTCCCAAGTTACCGATCGCAGCACCGTAGAAGAATTGCAAGAAGAAGGCTCCCAGAGCGAGAAGTCCCCATCTCGTGGGCAGCGTCCATAGTGGTAACCACGGAGCGATAAGCAGTCCTGCGATCGCTGCCACCCATTTGGCGCTCACTTTGTGCGAAAGGAACCCACCGACCACGCCGCCCAGGATACCTCCGATCTGCAGAATGCAGGTTACCCATGTCTCTTGTAGGATGTTCAGCTTGCGTTGGCTGACGAGGAAGGTCGGGTAGAGATCCATGGTGCCGTGGCCCATGGTAGCCAGACAGGAGGTCAGACAGCAGGCGTAGATGAAGGCCTTGTAATGGTAGCGTAGCACGTAGGCGAGCTTCTTATGGAACGGAAGATTTCCTCCCACAGCTGCACGGGTGTCTTGAACCGGCCCGTTGGCGTGTTCTTCGTCTTGAGTGGCCGGAGAGGCAACGCTATAATATGGGGTCACCGCGTGAAGAATGGCGATAGGGACTGTCAAGCCGGCGCAAAGCCAGAAAAGAGAGCGCCAACCGTAGCCATCTTTCCAAATGATTAGTAGTGATCGAAGGAAGGGGAAACTGTAAGCTTACTCATAGCCAGATGCAAGCCCGATGCAAAGAGATAGCCGGACGAGAAGCCTTGCTGTGTGAAGCCGGCCACCACACCACGGGACTTTTCCGGCACTGCTTCCAGCACCGTCGCCATGGCCAACCCATATGTTCCACCGTAGGCAACCCCTGGGGAAGTTAGCACTGTCACTGTCAAACCTTTCAGTGTTCATCTGCAACACCCACCAAAGAGGAACCGGAATCCGATCAGCTGGGGAAAGGTCTGCGAGAAGCCCGTGGCGACAGTGAAGCCGCACATGAGTATAAGGTCAATGAGCATGGGAATCTTCCGCCCGTACTGATCAGACAGGATACCAAAGATTACTGCTCCCACAGCACGAGACAGCATAGTAGTGGTATTGGCTTCTGACACATTGGTCTCAGCAACGTCAAGAGCTTCCGCCACGGTGCTAAGAGTAAATGGAAGGGCATAGTATTGTAGAGAGCCCAGGGTCCAGCACGCCCAACAAGCCAGCCAGATTAACGCCTGGACAGGCTTCATGTGCAGTGTGGAGCCAATCTCCCTGGGGAGAGCGGCGAGGGTAGCAAGGATATTCATGATGAAAGTGGACATAGAACTTGAGGGAGTGGTCGAGGACAGAATCGAAACCTCCCTCGAGCGAGGCAACGTTTATACCTCAATCTGGGACACCATACTTGGCATCATCTTGGCATATGGGGAATCCCAGATGTGCGGGGGAAGACGCAATAGAAAGGGTCTAGCAGCTGGTTGGGTTTTGACCTTAGCGAGGTGGGTTTGACATGTATCTCCCCTCATCGTTCGCCAATCGCCAGCTGCAGACGCTCACCGAACCGGTTGCACAGTAAGATTGCGGCATAACTGTGCAGACACCATGACGGTCATCGAGCAGATCTAGTGATGCAAGTCGGCTGTGAAAGCTTTGACCGATCGGAAATATCTGAGCCCCCATCGGTGTTCCTGCTCTTCGCCGATATCGAGCCCTAGATGCTTGATATCAACCAACCGATTCCCCTTCGTCCTTGATGACAGTCTCACTGTATCGCGCGATCATGACCACTTATTTGTCGCCACCACGACGTGGTCTGATCAAATGCCGATCCCCCAGTTCCCCAGTTTCCATCCACAAGGGTAATCCCAAGAAGCAGGCGTCCTGCGGGGGTTGGTTGTCCTTGAGATCCAACAGAATGGCACGACGGACAACGATAGTCCGCACGACGGCTGCGGCGCCGGTCCGGGACGGGCAGATGGAGCATCAAGCTCCAACCAATGAAGCATCCATGCAAAGTCAGCTGGTAGCAACATATATGTCGGTCGTGCATGCATATCTCGCTTGGGATAGACCGTTGCCTCTTCATTTCAGCTTAGGCTGCCGGAACCACCGCAAGTTGAGCTCGCGTCTGCCTCCAAGTTGATAAGACTTATTGCGACCATCTGCCTGGTCTGATCACTCTTCCCGCTCACTCACCATGGCCGAGTTCGTCCCCGAAAACGCATGGGATACCCATATTCATGTCTTCGATCCCAAGAAATTTCATTATGCCGTGCCACGCTCATACACGCCCCAGGCCGCCCAAATGGCTGAGTATCCGACGGGCATCACGGGCTGCAGGAACATTGTGATCGTTCACGCCTCCATGCAAGGGGTTTCACCGGCCCCGTTGGTCGATACTCTGTCCAAGCAGCAAGAGATGCCCGGCTACACTCTCCGGGGCCTGGCAACCATCGACCCCTTCACTGTCACCGATGAACAGCTGGACGAGTTACATGCCGCTGGAGTGCGCGGAGCGCGCTTGCACGAGATGGCCTGGGGCCACGGCAAACAGAGCGGTGGCAGCGACATCATCAAGAAGGTAGAAGCTCTGGCCCACCGGCTGGCCCGGTTGGGATGGGCTATTGGCATCTTCTGCCCTGTCAGTGCCTGGGCTGCCATGGCAGAGACGATCCGCAACATGGATCCTCGGATCCAGATGGTGGCTGATCATTTTGGAGGCACGTTCCCTGGGGCGGAGAACTCTGCTGAGTTTGCCACGTTCCTGGACCTGATCCGGGAAAAGCGAGTCTGGGTGAAGGTCTCAGGCTTCGAGCGACTGTACCACGGTCACGAAAGTGGCATGAAGGCCATCGAGCCCATCGCGAAGGCAGTGATCCAGGCCGGTCCGGATCGCATCATCTTTGGCACGGATTGGCCTCATACGCAGTTAGGAGTGACACGCAAAGGCAAGACTGACCAGCAGCGGTTGGAAGAGGTGGAGGGATTCCGGGAGGTCGACGATGCCGGGCATATCCGGACATTGCGTGAATGGATTCCCGATGAGGAAACCTGGCAGAACCTGTGGGTCAACAACCCAGCCAGATTGTTTCAGTAGTTCATGGATTGAATTTCCCCGATGACGTCTTTTTATGTCGACACGAGAAACCATTGCGTGCTTTGCTCCTATCTCTTTATCTCCTACGAATCCGATCGCCGTATAGCTATGAAGCTTGGATTAAGTACTACTCAAACTACGTAGAATAGAGCATCTACAGTCTTCCAGAAGAAAATGGCAAATTCTATGGCAATCTTTATATGTAGAATTAATGACACTATAGGATTTAACGTACGTCCCAGCACTGATAATGAGATAAAGTCACATCTGGTTTCTAATCGCCGGATCGCCGATCCGAGCCCGCGGGGTGGAATAGCCATGGATAGCCGGACTGCGGGGACGGGCCTTTATTATAAATCCAAATTGCCAGCTTCCACACCACAACCACATCACGTTCGAATAGTCTTTGTGCACGATACCACAGGTTCACGATGTCCGACAAGTCAAATCTCCTCATGTTCGGTGCCACTGGCACCATTGGCAAGTATATCATCGAAGCGATTGTCAACGCCCGAGATTCCTTCGGTCGCATCGCTATCTTCACTAGCCCCAACACCGTCAGTAGCAAGGCCGACGAGCTCAATGCCCTGCGTCAGAAGGGAGTCGACATCTTGATTGGTGATGTTGGCAATCGTGAGGATGTGCTCAAGGCATACGCAGGTATATTACTGCCGCAATCCACCCTTCCATTACACATGCACCTAAACTAATCGACTACACCAGGGGTGGACACCGTCATCTCCGCGCTCGGTCGCGGAGCCATCGCAGCTCAAATTCCTCTGATCCAACTGGCCAACGAAACTCCCAATATCAGGCGCTTCCTGCCATCTGAATATGGCACGGATATCGAATACAGCCCTGCCTCTCAGCACGAGAAGCCGCACCAACAAAAACTGAAAGTCCGCGCAGCTCTTAGAGAGGTCCGCAGCACCCTGGAGTACGCCTACGTGGTGACTGGGCCCTATGCCGATTTCCCGTTTTTCTTGGGTCGGTCCAGCAATTCCAAGGCAGGCAGTTTCGATGTGTTGGCTAAGAAGGCTGTCATCGTGGGAGATGAGCATGGCAAAATTAGCGTCACGGCACGTACAGAGTATGGTGACCCCTGGGCTGATATTGATCTTCTTGATTCAATATAGCTAATGAAATATAGCGTTGGTAAGTTTGTTGTGCATGCCCTCACCCATTGGGAGGCCGCTCGCAACCGCGCACTCAAAGTCAACTCATTCACCACCACGCCGGCCGACGCCTTGTCCGAGTTTGAACGTCAGACCGGTACCAAGTGGAGCGTCGAGTATACCTCACTAGATGAGCTGCGGGCTTTGGAGAAAGAGGCGTGGGAGAAGGAGGACCCCGTAGCTACGGTCTACACACTTCGGCGCATCTGGGCGGAGGGGGGCACACTCTATGAGCGCCGGGATAACGAAGATATTGGCGTGACGGAGACGAGAGACCTGCAAGAGTTGGTGACTGACTCTATCCGGGCACAAATCGAGGGGGTCCCAGCCAAGCATTGAGTTATGGCCAGATATATGCTTTCCATAGGATGTATTGTTCGTATCCCACCTGCTCCCATGCCAGATATTAGATATTCCTTGGTCATTCGTTTGCCGTCCGATTAACAACGGGTGGGCATATTCAGGGAAATAGCTCCCGACCGGTAGATGTTACTCCCCTATGTAGAACCCACCGGGCCAAGCCGCACAATACCGGTGGGCGAACCCATTAGCAGGGCTGAAACTCCGTTGATGGCGCCAGGGTATTGCTTGTGAGCATTGGGACTTCACGCGCACTGGCCGGGTCGAAGATTGCTTGGCGTCGTAGGAAGGACCTCACGTCCATGGCAGACAAAATGCACTCCTTGTTGATACACGACCTGCACCATTCACCAACTGGTTCTTGGTCGAGTGGAAACACAACTGCACATCAACAAGCGGACTTCAGCACCCTGTGCGCATATACCTCCGAGACTCTGCCTGATGTTCATCCGAGGGGTGGTATGAGACAAATTTTGGTCCTTGGCATTTCCTAGCCAACGTGTCTTGCCGCGTTCGATTGGATATTGAGACGGTATCGGGGATGTGGGGGAACGCTTCAAAGGGAGACAGACGCAGTTGTCTTTTCTTCTACACCTCGAGCCAAGTCTCCAGGAAAGTTAGGGATCACGGGGGTGGGGGCAAGGGAGTATCTGGCTATGGTGGTGAGGCCCAATCAGCAGCGTACCAAGAATGCTTAAAGTCAGTAAATGTGGCTTGGTACAGTCTTGGTGCGATGACACTCATCCTGGGTAGCCGGGAGTTGTGTTGTAGCCATGGTGACAACTTCACACTACCACCGCCTGAATTGAAACCGCCATATCGCACAGCATGGCCCTCAATACCTAGCGACTTCATGGACGCCTTTTCATTGCGGTACAAAGGTCTGTCGCGACCTCTCTGACGGAGGATAACCCTCCGTGCGGCTTCTCGCGTACACAGGCAATGCTGGTGCGAGCTGCATAGAGACGCAGTATGGCCACAGTGCTACCTCCGGTGTGACCTCCTCACTTCGATGTTTCAAGCGACAGGGATCTGACCGTCTGGCGAGTGGGGATAATTGTGGATCGGGGTTGAGATGTTGTGATCAGTTGATATCCCGGGAGTTTACGGACCGAAATTCTCCGTCCATTCCGTCTAGAAGAGGCTAGCGTTGTATGGCGTCGTCCTCGTGACTATCTGGCCAATAAGAGCGTGCTTTGGGTTATTACTCAGCGGGGCATCCCCTCGTCCCAAAGAGGAAGGACACTGGACTGAGCAGCAGCCCTCAATTCGACTCCAACATTTACCCCCTGTTGAGTATACAGTGCGGGGATATCCAATCCCAATTCTCGATAGACGTCCAAGCTCTGTATTTCGGGAATTACTTCGCTTAATTCCCTCCCCTGCACGGTTTTCCCCGCAGATGTCAGATCGGTCACCGCGTCATGCTGGCTGTGCCCCCCAACTAGCTCCTCTTGGCTGCCCCAGATTATCGGCTCCCTACTGTCTCTGAATTAGCCTGTCCTGGCCACGCTGCTTTACTGTCCGTAACCCCCATCTCATCTCCTTCTAACTGCTTTTTTCTCCGAGCAAGGTCGGCCATGTGCGGAAATGAGTCCCAAGCGCCAGTCTTCTCCGACCACCCCCCGGGCCTGTCAATTCTGTCGCGTCCGCAAGATCCGTTGTGACAACGAGAAGCCCACCTGTGGTTCCTGTCAGCGTCATGATCGACAGTGTGTCTATGTGGTCGACCCACCCCGCCAGAGGTAGTTGTTCATCCCACCTGGATGCCTCTCGCCATCCATGGCTGCAATTATGTTGCCACGCCTGCGCTGACGCTGCTGCACCAGGCCGTCGCGAGCTCTCATCAATGCCGCTCACCGCCAGAGGCGTGCGGCGGAAAATGTGATCATTGCTCTGAAAAAAGCTGATCCGGTTGCTCGAGTTGCAATCCTGGATTCGATCCATGTCAAGGACGGCGTCCTGCAATTGCCGGCATCATTGGCCGGCCTCGGTGCCAATATCAACGACATTCCGGTCTCCCAGCCCACCCAAGCCTCGGACAATAGCTCAAATGTGTACAGTACGCCCAATGACGAATTGAATGATAGTACCTCCGAAGACGAGGACTACGATCCCACCACCTTTCTCTCCCGCGATGAATGCGGCACCGTCGGCATCTTTGGCCCGTCGTCGGCGTTGCATGCCCGGAGTCCCCTGGGCCTAGCCAACAGTGCCAACTCACGACCTGCCGCAGAGCCGGATCGATACCAGCTTATCGCCGAGGCTGCCCTCCAGCGCCAACGTGAACCTGATCTGCGACGTCTGCCGACCATTGGAGGGATACCATCCGAGTTGGCTCTGCATCTGCTCGATCTGCACTGGAACCGGCAGCATCACACATTTCTGCTGACCTATCGCCCTGCCTTCATGCGTGACCTCGTCACCGGCGGCCCGTACTGCTCAGAGTTTTTGCTTAACGCTGTCTTCGCTTGTTCGAGCAAGTTCTCGACCCGGGTTGAGGTGCGGGAAGATCCGCAACGGCCCGAATCAGCCGGCAAACGGTTCTTCGATCGCTGTGATCAATTGCTGGCAGAACAGTCGCTCTTGACCCATTCGAGCATCCCGACCATTGCCGGTTTGATCATGCTTGGCAGTACCTTCAATGCCCGGGGACAGACTTCCAAAGGCTGGCTCTATACGGGATTCGCCCTGCGCATGGTATACGACCTTGGCCTGCATCTGGATTGCAAGGAGGTTGCTGCCAGTGCGGAGGATATCGAGGTTCGACGCCGGGTCTTTTGGGCGGCCTTTATTTGTGATAAACTCCAGAGTTTGTACTTCGGACGTCCATTCACGATTCAGCTGCGTGATGCGCATGTGTCGCGGGACTTTATGGATACCTTTGAAGAGAACGAGTTGTGGATGCCATACATCGATCCCCTGAAACCAGACAGTACTGCTCGTTCTCACGTCCCCACGCGCATCTACTCCGTGACCGTTTTTCAGCAGCTATGTTCCCTGTCCAAGATCATGACTAGCATTATAGACCGCTTTTATATGGCTGGTGCTACTGGAAGCAAGACTCGCAAGCATCTGGAACTCATTGATCGTCGCCTAGAAGCTTGGTATCGTAAATTGCCGGCAGAGTTGCGATTTGAGCCCTGGGTAGATGATGGCCAGTCACCGCACGCCACTGTAGCACCCAATGTCATCATCCTGCTAACTACCTACAACGCCCTCATTATCTTACTCCATCGTCCGTTCATGGGTAGCGGACATCTGCGCTCCGATGACCCGCCCGCGGACTCCTGGGAGCGTTGTGTCACCGCTGCTCGCAACATCACCAGCCTGGCGCTGGCCTATCGATCAGCCTACTCGCTGCGTCGAGCAAACTACATGCTCAGCTACGCGGTCTATGTAGCCTGCACCATCCACGCGCGCAATCCAGCTATCCGGGAAAGCACGCGTCGGAAAGAGGCATCGTCCCCGCTGACGGTGTGTCTGCGGTGTCTGGACGAGCTGGCCATCCCTAACTGTGGTGTGTCGGCGCCATCAAAGATTATTCGCCGGCTCATGGAAGCCAACGGCATGTCCATCCAAACTGGTAAGCGCTGCACACACTTCAAGAAACCTCAAACCCACTAATGATGTTTAGGATGTGACCCGGCTATTCAAGACCCCTTCCAGGTAGACATCAACTTAGACTTTCAGACCTTCCCGGGTCTAGATTTCAGTCCTGCGCGACTGGATCATGCCAATCAGATCCCTGGCTTCCAGGACTTCAATCAGGACCTGGACCTGTTGTTCGGGTTCATGAACGAGCCCGACGTGTCCATATCCTCCATGTTCACCGGAGTTGTACCCTATTAGCGACGTGTATATAGACCACAGTTCAAAATAGAAAGTCCGGGATTTGAGCCCGATGTTCAATAGAACGCATAATATACATCACATCATCAAAACGTCACATCGTAGCCCAGTAAACTCACTCTAACACACTCGGATCCTCCTTAACCGCCTGGTCATAATACGGCTGAAACGCCAACCACATCTTACTCGAGTTTCCACTCTTCCTATGCGTCATCTCCGCCTCCTCTTTGTTGATGTAGACCTTCTCCCACCCCGGTCCGGCCGCCGCATTGGCCATCATCTGCGCATGACAGCACCGATCGAGAGCAATAAACAGGAAGGCTGCCTCATCGACCGTTCTACCGCAGGTAATCATACCGTGGTTCTGCAGAATTACACTGCGACAGGTTGGACCGAGGGCCTTGGCGATGCGAGCCCCTTCTTCAGTGGAGAGCACGGTGCCTCCGTAGCGAGGGTACACGGCCAGATCATTGTAGAAACGCAGGGCATCCTGGTAGAGCATTTCAATGGGCCGCGCAAAGCAGGAGAATGCCTTTCCGTAGACGGAGTGTGCGTGGCATGCGGCGTTCAGGTCCGGGCGTGCTTTGTGGATTTCACTGTGGATGGCGAATGCGGGGCCATTGATGGGATGCTGGGCGCCTCCGGGGAGAACTTCGCCGTTCCCGTTGACGAGGACGAGGTCGGAAACTTTGATCATGGAAAAGTGCATGCTGAGTGGGTTGATCCAAAAGTGGTCTATTGTAGGCTTTGTTAGTGGGTCGTTTGTTGCAGAGGGCAACACAGTCACTGACGAGGATTCAGGGGGTCGCGTAGCGAAATGTGTCCAGCCACTCCCTCGTCAAACCCTTGCCGAGCAAAGACACGGAAGGCTACGGCCAAATGCTGTTTCTGGTATGCCCGCTCATCTTCGATATTGTCGAAAGTCGGGGGCGAGCGGATCACAACCTTGCCCTCTTTGTCGCCTAGGAAGTGCACATCGTCGAAGAACTTGTTGGTCGAAGCTGATCCATTGCTGTGACCATTCTGAGGGGCGGATTCAGTGACGGTGGTTGTGGCCATCGTTGAGGTCAACTTGTCAGTACCTTCGGATTATATATATAGTCTTATATAGTCTTATAGAGGAAGTGGTGTAGACAAACGGGGTTAGTCGAGAAGAGGTAGGACCAGGATTAAATGCTTAGA